GGCTAACAGGGCGAGGTATTTTGCAACTCTCCACGAACGGAGCTTCTGGGGGATGATTCATGAAATGTTTAAAATTTATTTCGTGCACTTTCGATATAAAATCGTAATCCCGTGGATTCTATATTTGATAGGAATGGTGATTGCGTTTCCGTCGCGTGAGTTAGAGCTTATAGGATAATTGCATATTTACTAGGCGGAGAGGCGTTAATTCGGGGAGAATAAATAATAATTAATTGCACACTTTGTAGACTGTGGGTAACAGAAGTTTCGTACGTTCCCCTCGCGACTCTCCTTTCTAATTAATCCCTCGAATGCGGACGCGTCCAACTAACGATTTTCCACGTCATTAAATTTATTATTTTATGCATCATGCGGTACGCAGTGAACGTAACCAGTTAGGTGCATGTATACAGGATAAGTAATCTTTTAAACTCTTCGGATATATCCTGTTCCTTTAATAAAAATCCGCACTCAGGGCCGCTGTAGAAATTTTAACCGCAGGAAGCATGAATTTTTCTAAAACTTATTAAGCTCGACGCGCATCGGTTGCGTGGTCAGCGTCCATGGTCCTTTGTATTATATGTACGCAATTCATGCAAATATCCATGCAATTGCCCGGTATATATACCCGTGCAATTAGTGCATACGTTCATGGAAGGCCTTGAACGAATTTCCCCGTTTTGTGCATCCTAGAAGTGCAAGAAGGTCTTTTCTCGTGGAACTAAAACTTGACCGGTCTCTTTACCGGAACTTTTCACCGACGACGTTTCTCCCGGGAAGTGCGGAGAACGGAGAAAGTGTCGAGGAAAAAATGGATCGGCCGGCGAGAGAATTCACGGAAAGGTAGGAGTATCGAATAGGTAAGTGGCTTCCAAGGACGGGCGCGGATTTCCATCCAGTCGTTGGAAAAGGAAAAGGTAGCAGCCATTACGGGGAAACGGAACGGGCAGGAATGGGCGGAAAAAAAATCTCGTCGTACGAGCGAAGAAATTATCTTAGAAACGAAAGTTTCCACGGGCGGCGCTCGTGGCAGAAATCGACGGGTCTCTCGGTCACGATCCAGCGGGCGAATTTCGTTCTGCGGCCGTTCCGCCGCGGATTAGACGCGGTCGAGCACCATCCCGGAAAGGGGGACCTAATTGAAAAAGTAAGTGCGAACTGGCCGGATAACGACGCTCGGCTGGGTCAAAGGAAATTGGGAAAAAGGAAAAGTGCGGCCCTGAGAACTTTCCCTCGGGTCGGTCGAGTCGGGTTCGAACGTCATTTAACGCGAAGGGTCTCGTTGTTAGAGGGAACTCGAAATGTCCCGGAAAATCGGGTTTCCAGCGAAACCGGAGGGGATCGACTTTCCGTCGACGCGACACCTGAGAATTTCGAGAGGAACCTACTTCGCGTCCGTAAGAAGTTTTAGGAACACGGAGAAAAATATTTGGATCGATAAAGTGTACGTCGATTAAATAAATTTAATGGAGTCCCGGGTCGCGACGTCAAAAATGTCGAGAAGCGTTCCACCGTCTCGAGTCGGTTAAACGTTAACCGCGGGATCGCGACAGATTTTTCCCAGCGCGTTGACCAGCCATTTAACCTCGGTATTACGGTGATAACTCACCTCCGGAACCGCGAGGGACTCCTGAAATGCAAGAAGCCCCGCGTCGCGACGCCCGCCAGGGAAAAGAGAGACCTCCGTCTCCCCTCCGGACGGAGGCGGATGTAGGCCGGGTCCACGGGAGGGACGGAGACGGAGGCTGAGCGGCTGTCTCCGATACGGCTTCTTTGACCCGCTTTCTCTTTTCCCACCCGATTTGTCTCGTGGACATGTCCGCCATGTTTTCTTCGAGCGGGAAACCCGCGATGCGTCCGCTATCCGTTTCGATAGCAGAATATTGCCCTTTCGAGTGGTTTTCATTTTTCCGCGATATGGGTCACCGTTTCGTTAATGGTATTTATTTTTCCGGACCGACACTCTTTACGAGCGACATTCGATGCAAGTGTGTGCACCCTGCAAACAAGGCGCGGAATTATTCGCCCGGAAGCAAGTTGCAAATCCATACCGTTATGCAAATCGAATGTTTCGTGTTTGCGTACTTTCGGTGCGCGAATTGCTGGAAAATTCTAAACCCGTTTCGTTTCGACCGAAGCAACGATTCCGGTATCACGGTTGTTATCGTTAACTGGACTCCCTTGACATGTCATCGGTTAAATTTATTCGCGATTTTTGAAACCGAAGAAAGGGAAAGAACCTGTTACTTGTACACAGAGGCAATTAAACGGGCGCGCAATTACAGAGTCCATGTTTTACGAGGGAATGCATTGCGCAAATCGAGGCTCCGACTTCCCCGAGTCAATAAAAGTGCAACATTTGAGCTTAAGGCGTTATCGTAAGGACGACCGCCGAATGCTTTTACGGCTGCATTATTGTAACGACCATCACTGGAGAGGGCAGGAAGGAACAATTTTCTGCATCGTCGTGTTATGCCAAACACTGACGAAGTACCCTTGGTTCTTCAAAATCAATTATACGACCCGGAGAAATTGGAAAGCCTCGATACTTTCTCTAGGAATGACTGCAGCGGCTGGAATTTAAAATCCTCCGAGGGGACTCTTTCGGATACTGATTTGCGAAATTTTAATATTTATTCCTAGGTCATTTATTTTAATATCGGCAATAATTCCGTTATGGCATGTAGGCAGGGGAAAGCGCACGCGAAGACCGCTCGATAAGTCTGTCTACTTTCCCGCGATATAAATTTCTTTGCAGCGGGCAGGATCGGGGGGCCTTCGATGTCGCGGAGTTTATAAAACTGCTGTTAGCTGTAATCACGGCTCAAAACCGAGAGTTGGCTTTCGGACTTCACCCGATCGCGGGCAAAGCCCCCGTTTCCGGCCGGGTAGATTTGCGACGCGCCGGACGCGTCACTTCCGCTTTCGCGAACTCGAACAGCCTTCGAGGACCTTGAACTTGAATTTCGCCCTTGCAGCGATACGTTCGTTGCATGAGTTTCGAGTCCGAAGTAAGAACGGTCTTCGAGGGGAAACTGAAAATTAGAGGCCATCAAAGCCGCGTTCAGGGAAGATGGCGGAAACGCGAGTAGAAACCTCGTGCCGTTTCCAGTGCGCCGCGAGTACGCTCAAAGTGGTACCAATCCGAGAGAAGATGGCACTTTCGAGAGGACGAGGCAGACTCGAAGAGAATTGCAGAAAGTAATCGGCGGACTTTATTACGCGTGGTGGCCGCGAGAAGTGGAGGCCGAATGTGGGGCACGTTACAAGGTGGTTCACCCGAGACGTCGCTTTATGAATTTAGGCTTCAAGCGACTTACCGCCGGCCGGTATTTAACTTTCTACGTGAAATCAACCGCGGCCAGCCCGGTTCCCCCGAAATTGACTCGTTACCGTTTCGCTCGGCACCGTTATGGTGTTTCGGAGTGGTCTTTTCCCACCAGCGGAGCGAACTCTGCTCGTTCGAGCCAGAATTCGACGCCACGTACGAGAAAATTAACGCTCGAGTTTATTAACTTCCGATGATACGATTTACGTATTTATATCTTTTTAGCCCAGGATAAAGAATCCAAAGTATCCAATTTCGACGCGAGTACCTTTTCCAACGAGACGGTGATAATTTATAGTTTTTCCTAAGAAACTAGAAAGCTTAAAGCAGGTAGTCCGTGCAGCTATTAGCGCAAAAGTTATACCGCTATTATCTCCATTATCCTAACTGTGCTCCCGTAATTCGACCGCAAGCCAGGTAGGTGTTCCCCGCATTGTTTGCTCATAGAGTGAGTGAAAATGAAATTGCAATTTTTTGCCCGAAACTCCTTCGGCCGTGTCACTTAATGTCCCGTCCTTTGAGTCCATCCGTAAAGGCAACCGAGGCGGATAAAACGGATCCCGAATTCACCGTTTTGGCAAGAAAAAAGTTGAACGCGCGATAAACTGGAAGACTTTAATAATCTCGGTTTCAACGTAAAGTCTGCACGTCTCGTTCTAACGAGGACATAATTTATCTTTGAACAACGAGCGCTCAAGGATTAAGGACGTAATAAGTAATGGCGTAATGAACCTAAACGTTCGTGCTAGATTTCCACTTTGCGAGGTATCAAGTTAATCGCGGGCGCGCTTCTTTCCACCGAGTACACGAAATCGCTTTTCAAGTTACACGCGAGAATTCGTTAAGTCACCACGTGATTACGTCGAGTCACCTGGCCGCTAGCAAGGCACCCTACTAATTTCACCTAACTGGAACAATGGATTTAGCAACAAGGAGGACAAGGAGGAACGTTGTAACACTTTCGGTAGGTCGGCTTTTCAGCCAACTATCTCCGCAATTTACCCTAACAAGGAACCAAACGAGGCAGGATCCGATGCCTGCACTTTCCGAAATAAGACGTTTAACGTTTCCCCAAGGGAGCTTTCTCTCCCTCTCGGTCGTTAAAAGAGTTAACCCGGTTCGAGCAAGAATTCGCGAATTTTCCCCATCCGAGGCGATTTCTGTCACTTCTTGTCCATTCCCTCTGCGGACGCTTTGAAGGATGCCCGTTGAAAATTTAAATCGCGGCACATTCCCGGAGGATTTCAGAGACGTCTCGGGTCTCCTTCGAGACCAATCTCGAGCTGGTTCTATCGGGTTTATCGAATCTACCGTTACGTCGATCCGTTCCGCATCGACGGAACGGCCGGTCGCATGTACACACCGGCTGCGGTCCCGGCCGGTAATGCCGGAAACCTGGCAAGGACCTTTCAAGGTATGCAACGTCATCGGTCCCGGCAGCGGCGACCTCGTGCCGGGATGCGCCGATAGGAAGCTAAGAACGGGTCGCCACGCTTGGTCAACAACGGGCCCGAATGGACGCTAACTGTAAACCGGGACGTGTCGCGTGTCGACGAACGTCGAATTAATGCACCTGGAAATCGGTAAGACCGTTGTCGTCCCAACAAGGCGACTCCTTCCCATTTGCGCGACTTTTAGCGGACTAATTGAGATAAAAATGGGAAAGACTCACTTTGGACGATGGCTTCTGCAGGAAGGTGGCAATCCCTGCTCGCACCCTGTTCTTCACGCCCCGAACCGTCCCCTTGGCACTGCGGATGGCTTCCCGGTCGAGGATCTTGTATCCGGCAAAGTATTCGTCACCCTCCCTTTCGATGGGTCCATGTTCGCCGAATTGATCCTCGGCATCCACTTTCCGCTCGTCGTCGTCCCGTTGATGTTCGTTCACGTGGAACTTGTAAAACCTATCGTCGTCGTAGAGATACTTGGCACCATTGGTAGGTCTATTGTAATTCGCGTAAAAGTCCGCCTTGGCGCATTCCTGTTGTATCCTGGCCTGCTCGCGAGTCCTCTCTTCGTATGTACACTCCTTCACGACCGGGGACAATCTCCGATGATCGGGGATCTCGGGACTTCTGACTCGAGGGGTGGAAGAGGCCTTGGACAGAGACGACGTGCCCGAGGGCGAAGGAGAGGCGCAGGGAGATGCCCCGGGAGAGCACGCTCCCGATCCATTTTCGTTGCGGTGGCCATTGGTCAAGAAGATACCGGCAGAAAATCCCAGGAGCTGGTCCTTACTCCGACGAGTCATCTCGGAAAAGTCCCTCGATGGAGCGTCCGGATTTCTGGGGTCACCGTGACTCTGGGAGGAAGAGGGTTCGAGACTCCCATTCTTTGGGTTCCTCGGTCGACCTTCGCCCAGGTCGCCGTTGTTAACGTCTCTTTTTCCATCGGATCGACTCCCGTTGACCGAGTCCGGATCACCGGCGACTCCGCGTTTAAGACCCTCTTCCTGGTCCCCACTTTTGGAGCCCTGACCCCTGACGTTGCCGTTCTTCCCATCGGGCGCAACCGAGACAATTAGGTCGCCACAGTTGAGCGAATCGCAGCTGATGTTGCTCTCGTTGTCGTCGCTGTCCACCTCGGCCCCGCTGCTGGTCAAGCTCCCTGTGCGATTGTGTTGTCCGTTGCCGTTTACCCCCACCAATCCCGTCGAGCCCAGCAGGACGGTGCTGGCGTTTTTCTTCTTGGGAAGCGGTGGAGGCGTGCCGTCCAAGTCGCTGCAGGTCCCGCTATCCAGGGTATCGCTGGGCGAGCATTGCCCACTGTTGGTGACACCCATCTGATTCAACGAACCCTGGAAGGGAGCGTAATAGAAGCAAGCTCCCGTGCGACCCAGCGACGCGTGCAGAGCGTCGTTGCTGCCTCGTCGCACCATCTCGTCCACCTGCCGATGCTTGTCCACTTGGGGACGATCAACGTGATCTCCCCCCACACTGATTCTCGCACAGACCTCGCCAGTCCCTCCGTCTCCGTTTACGGAGTCCTTAGCCCTCGCCACGGCACTCGCGGAGTCCTCCTTGGCTCGGAAGTCGCCGGCGTTTCCCACCGTCCCCACGGAGTTCCGATGATTAAAATCGCTCGATCGGGTGTTGCACTCGTCCACGGTTAGGCGCACGGTGGAGATGACGCGACCACTCCGACTCTCTTCGGGGTTGATCCTGATCTTCACGACGTGAGCCGCCTGGCTGCCCCGCGCGGACTCTTCTCTGCAGTCGGTCGACGAAGGACGAACTTCCGGGATTCTCCAGGTCGTCGTGGACTCGGAGACCCCGCCGACGAATACCGTTGCTCCGGCCTCCGAACGAGTCGAAGGTGGGGAAACTGGAGTCCGGATTGATACGGTCTGACGGACTCCTTGGACCGGCATTCGGGAAACCTGCGTCTTCGCTGGCAACGGCGGGGGGACCGTCATCGCGAGAGTCTCGTCCATTTTTGGGGTCCCTAGCGAGATGGCACCTAACCCAGGTGCCGATCCTCGATGAACTCGCTCATCCCGGGGATGACGTATGTTTGCCGTTTCGTCACTCTTCGAGCGATGAATCCCGTAATCCTTTGGACGATATTCCGGTGTCGCGGATGTCCGAATTTTTTTTCGGCCGCGTAGATGGTGTCAAAGGTCTTGGTTCTCGCTAATTCTCGAGCGCGATCTGCATCTACCGGTCCTACGACCCGGAGATCGCGGACGTGCTTTCTACCGATCGGGCTCCTCGCGACCCAGAACCTCTCGAGATCGACCCAGAATCTCTCGGGGTCTTCCGGACCTCTCCGAAACCTCCTCTTCCCTCTCGGGGTCCGATCGAAGAACAGGTTGCTACTTACGATACCTGACCCTGACTCGGACCGTGGGACCCGACTCCGAGGTCCATTCCATCAATTTCAACGGAAAGGCCTGGTACCGATCATCGTTCCCGCCTGCCCAAATTAATGCCCTACGAAACGAAACGCGCGTTCCCACTTTGACTACTTAGTATTCTCGCAACTTGGTATTAAATTCTAGCTCGTGGCACGTGCGCAAGAGCGGCCCAAGTTCAAGCACGGCTGATATCGCTGAGACTCTTCAAAGCCTCTCGAGATGTTTACGTCGAGTTCCGGATGGCCTTCCAACCTCGCGTTTGTATTTTTCTCCGAACATCGATACTATCTCCGTCGCGCAAGATTCAAAAATATCGAAACGACCCTCGCTCCACGGTTTTTGAGACTTCATTCCCCCGTCGTCGCCATTTCTATCCGAGATTCTCACTTCCAAAAATTCCACTTTCCTCCGCACTATTTACGAACACCGAAATCGAACTGCAACATTCCCTTCGAAGTTCCCTGGTAGAGTGAGAGTCTCCGAGTCTCGTCGATCTCTTGGGCAGCCAAGACCGGGGATGGTAGACTAGTTAATCCATTAACGTCGACGCGGCGTCGATACCCGACCGGGATCAGCTGCCGGGGATGGTTACTGGCCCTCCGGTCCCTATTAAGGCCACCGCATAGTAGAAACACGAGGAGGCCGGGGTCTCGCGATAGTTGCAGCGCGGCCCGTCGCTAACTGTACCGAGCGCCGCTGACACTCACTCATGCCCAACTCTTGGCAAGGTGGGGACCGCCTCGAGACGTCCGTGGCAAGGTGCCTGGAGGGGCCCGAGACGTCGGTGAAGGGACCGATGGAGGGGCCGGTGGAAGGGGCCCCTTCCTCCGCACCTCCGCACCTCCGGTCTCTCTTCCTGGGCCATCTTCCTTCTCCCTTATGGTCTACCTTCCTCGCGCCTTCTTTTTCGTTCTCTCTGCCACTTCGCGTCTTTCCCCGGGATTTATTCCCGCAAACTAGCCGCTTTATGTTTACGCTCCTGCCCGCCACGTGGAGCTGGCTTGTATCTCGCGTAATTAAATGGATATTTCTCTGAAGGATAACGACCGCGCCCCGAGGTGAGTTCTCGGCTCGGCTCTTTGTACCCTACGTTTTCGGTCGAGGAGGCTTCGCGGATTGAATAGACACGGTTAATTGGCGCGAAACGTTCGCCATTCGCGGGAGGGACGGAATCGAAGAGCCGAGTGTTAGCGCTTCCAGAGAGCGACTGAGGTGCTCGTCGATGATTGGACCGCGGTTGCGTCGCGTCCAGACGAGACGAGTGCCTTTGTTTTTGTTTGGAAGATCGGAATGTCTCCGAACTTAAATATTCTTCCTCGGAATGAAATCTACGTACCGTGAGAAAAGCAAACGTTCCCGACAACGCCCAAGTCGAGTTTCATTCGCTATCGTTTACGGTCCTCCTTTCGCCCCCCATTTTCCAGCACCCCTTACCCTCGATCCCCGTTAACGTAGCATATTACCCATCCTCGTTATTCAACGCCTCTCCTCTCCGTCCCTCTTCCTAAGAAATTCCTTAACCAAGGTACCGGGGGAATTCTCATAAATCCCGGACATCCGATGAACGCGTCTCTTTCCCCCGTTCCTGGTTATACCCACGACCATCCATCCACATCCGCCTTTCTCCATCCTCTTTCCCGATTTCCGTCGCCACCTTTTCCCTCCCTTCCTCTACCCTCTTCCGTGTAATAATGCAACATGCAATACGGGATACGGTAGCGACGTAAGTGCGCCCCTCTCCCTTCCATTTCGCAGCCCTACGTGTCTCCCGGCTCGAATAAATGATTTCCCCCCCCCCCCCCCCTTTTCGTCGATCCGCTCCCTCTCCTTTCCGCCGCCGCGCTCGGCCTCTCTCGCTTACCTGTTCTCCCTCCCCCTCGTGGCTCCTCCCGTTTCGCCGTCTTTATCCACAAGCCCAGCGCGTGCGCGGTCCTTCCGCAAGGCAACCGCGCTCCACACTCCGGTTTTCCTTCGTTTACGGTGGGAGACCGGTGGCGCCCTCTGTCGAGCCTTCCTGCGACCATCGAATCCGGTTTAACTCCTTTAAATGCCTGCGTGGAGGTCCTCGTCGCACCCTCTGTAGGTCGCGTCGTGCCTCTTGTTGGACGCAATGAAGAGGTACGATGGTTTCCGCTGTCGATTCTCTCCCGATAATGAAAAAGAAAAATTGGGGTAGCGTTGGCGAAAGATCGAGGAACTACGATTTTCAAGGAACCCTGGATTTGTTTTTTAGGAATTAGGAATTCATGCTCGAAGGAACAATTCCATGGTATTTATTAATCGGAGGAAAAATCACGCTATGGGTTGGTTAGATGGGTAGAGGGTTTAATGGAGGTGGAGGGTGATATGGTTTAAATACAGGAGGTCCTTTGTTTTGGGAGTGGATGGACCAGTTTCTTTCCGACTCGTTTGGAATGGAAAACTTTATTGCCGACAGCAGGAAGGAGAGCGACTCGTGGGGTGCATGGAAGTTGGCATGACGTTCACGGTTGTCTTTGGACAGGAAGGAAGATGTCACCGTACGCTGAGTTCGCCGGAAAATGCGTGGATAATTCAAGGCTCCGGAGTATACTTACGAGAAACTGTTATAAGTGATGCTCTCTTGCACTCTTGCATATTGCGGAGAAATGTCCGACATTACGAGCTGGAATTCCTTCCCTTTCTTTCCTTCTTCCCAACCATTTCCAGTTTCAGATGCAACGGCATTAATGACCGTACTTACGGACACTAACTGTGTGCATGAAAGAGTCGCGTTTCCCGTATGACGTGGGGCGTCGCGTGCTTACGTGGATTTAAAGCAAAGGCGAACAGATCGGAGGCTGGGAAAACGCGTTAACCTGGGTTAAGCCATTTTACAGAAATTTCGTGCCGGAATTTACGGAAGCTAACGATGGGTTACGCGGACGTTTCCTGCATCTCCTGTCCAGGAGGATTAAGAAAAATACTAGGTAGAGGCATTAACCATAGACCGCGCCATTGGTCGACCATAACTTTCGCCATGTCGACCTTGCGACAACGTTGGGGACCAGAACGGGTTCCGTTACACCCTCCAGCATTGCATTCCATCGAGTACCTGGTTCTGCTTGTTTATTTCCCCTCGTTGTCTTTTTTTTTCCAGGTTGTGTTACTTCACTCGTGCGACTTCTCTTCCACGTCCATCTTCCGGCGTTTTATGCCTACGCGTTAACCTAAAGGTGACTCAAAAAGAAAAAAGGAGGAGGTTAACTTGCGGTAGAATATCGACAAGCTTTGAATCTTGGATCGTGATTTTCAGATCGTCGAGGTTTGTGATCTTTTTGCCTATCCCGATTGCGCAAATCTACTCTTTAAACACACGAGTTTTACCACCACTAACGCGTGAATGATGAGATCGCATTGGTATTTATTATTTAGACATAGTTCGTCGGATTTAATCCTAGAGAGATCTTCGACGTTATTGCTATTGCGAAGTTTTCAGTGATCGGCCTAGACGGAATGACGGAGACGTCGAGAGGTTTAAGACGGTAGTTCCCTCTCTCTCGAAAGGAACCATACGTTCATGGGTTCGTTCTTACCCTTCATGATCACAGGGCCTCTGTACTCCAGCAGGAACTGGGGATCCTGATTCTCTGGCATGCACAGATACCTGCAACAGCGGATGAAGGAATTTTTTTAATCGCTTAGATATTGTTTAAAAATAACGTCGCGGTCAACGAGACATAGACGATGATGAAACTGCATCGGGGAAAACGTCACGGAGGCGAAAATCCCTGACTTAAGCCGAAGGAACGAGGAAGACTGCACCTTCGACAAAGGGTACCGTAGGGAAGCCTTTGAGGACACTTGCCTAACTCTCCAAATCGAATTATCTCTCGTCTGATTCTACCCTCTACTTAGGTGGACGGTTCATTCGTAGACGAGCAATCCTAAAGTTAACCCAGGGACAATTGTCCATTGACTCTGCGCGAGTCATGAGAGCCTTCGAGTCCTCGCTCTCCCTACTGGTGATAAAGTCGAAATAGTGCTCCGCAAACCACAATATGGAGGTGTTAATCGACTGTTACTTTGACAAACTATTCGCCGAGATGGAGAGAAGCTGCCTCGCGTCGCGATATAAGCGTCGCGAGCTCGTTAGGTACTTTTCAGACGTGATAAATAGTTGCGCCGAAGGTAAGACATATTTTACAGCGACAGAGAACTTGGTAACGAGTTTTTCATGGGATCGCGTCCAATCGTCGAATTTACATCAGCTGCAAATCGAGAAAAATTATTCGTCACCGTCACCAATTTCCTTGTCTCGATTTCGTCCCCTGCTCTAACGAAATTTGATTACTCCGATTTCAGCGGAAAATTTGGAGACGGAAGATGTTTGCGAGAGGATAGTCCTCGCTGCTCTGCGGTACCACAACATTACCCTGTCGGAGAACGGATCGGTTTGTCTGCTGGGCAAGTTCCATAACGTTCTCTATGTGGCAGCCAAACTGTGCTACGATTGGAACCTCAAGAATAACGAGATAGTATCCCGTCTCCTAAACGACATTTTCTACTGCGAAAAGACCTTTGAGAGGATCCTGGTGGGCGCTATTTTCGGGACCCGAGTTACGCACTTCCTGTCCGGGTGGAAGTGCGACTTCGAAGACAGAGAGGAGAACATCAGAGCTTTGACGTACTTCTTGGACCACGCGGCAATGGGTCGTCTGGAATATCGTTGCAATAGTTCAGGAGGTTTCAAAAGACGCTTAATAGATATTCCCATGGAGTCCTATGGGCAAGTCCTGCCTCTCAGGGTGGCCATCCAGCACGGTTCCCCGGACATCCTGCTGATCATGCTGAGGTATGGGGCTTCTACGGAATCCGACAAACTGGCCCCTTCACCGATCGAGATTTTGTTGTCCAAACTGAACGAATATAACGTGGGCATCGATGACAACGATGTCTGCATATATCCGCAACATCTTCTGCTATGTCTGAAGCTTTTGCTCCGCACTATCACCACGGTTTGCGTGAGGACCCCGGAACATATTGCCGGTCAAAGCGGGGTCTTCAGTCTGTCTCTTCGGGATAGATACCCGAAACTTGCAGAGAGCAATCTGGTGCCTCCGGAACGCAGTGGCGAATATCCGGCAGAACTGATGCATTTGTGCAGGTGCAAGATTCGACAGACTTTGTTCGAGAATTGGGCCTTGCCACATGGCATACGCACATTGCAGATCCCGGAATCGTTGAGGGACTATTTGGATTTGTTCTATGATTGACGCGTATCATTTAATGAGGTCGTGGAATATTTCGAAGGTCTCGAGGAAACCTGCGTTCCTTCCATTTGGGTACAATTACTCGCACCTTAGGTGATACCTGCACGTTGCGCAAGAATCGTTACCGGAACTATAAATCCTACATGAATCCGAGACACAAAAACTAGGAGGGAATAAAAGCACGAGACCGCTAAGTTAGACCGCCTGCCACTTCGCAACGAGAAAGTGCACGTTAACTTTAATCGTCCAATGAAACAGCGAAGAGTCTAATAAAATTCCCCGTTTACCAAATATTTTGTTACTCCTTCGTTATTGTTCGTGCTCGCTCTCTTGGACTTTCCAGCCTGTAAATGCACCTATGAACTTCTCGGATCCTTTCGAGAGCAAGAATTCATAGAGCCTGGATGAATAGGAAAATTCGCAAGAACTATATGGAAGTTCGTCGAAAGCTTAAGTTCTCTTAATTGAACCGAGTGCTATTTAATAGCGAGAAAGTCTCCGGATGAGCTCTGATTTTCCGTTAACGCTTTCTGAAGACTTTGCTGGAACTTCGAGTGATCTTATATTCAGCAGAAGGGGGAAAGTCATTACCTCCCCTAATCGTGCCGTAAATCGATCGCACCGAATTAACGTTCCGGTAAATATTACTCAAACTGCAGGCAATAACTCCGCTTATCGAATTGTTAGGCCGCTGTACTAAGTGCGGATATAAAAGCGTAAATGATAGACTGTATCGCCAGTGCAAGGAAAATCTAGCCTTTTCCGTTAATTCCGCTTAACGTTGACCTCCATTGATACAGAGGGAGAGAGAGAGACCATCTGACGGGTTAACGGCGAGAGATCAACTTTACGACGTCGTCAGACGTCGTTTCGACGAAGTGGTCCGACGTCCAACCGACGTCGTCAGAGAATTTATCGATGGAATAACGAGCGCTCGATACTTATCCGTATATCCGACTACTACTCCACCGAAACCTCTCTAATTCTCACCTCGAGTTTCCAGACTTTCGAAATTCAAATCGATCCCGAAATACCATTGCCTAGTAAAAAACTGTTCATTGGTTCAATGAATTTTTTTTCTTTTCGATGTACCCTCGAACACGAACGGAAGGCTGTTATTCAATCGTTTTTTCGTTCCTCCAGGCACAAAGTTCGCGTACGTGTAAAGTTCCACGTGAAAGAAAAAAGAACAGTTTTTTCCTAGCAAATACCGGGATGCCATGAATAATTCACGAGCTTACCTGTACGCATCTTCGGAAACGTTGATTTTGCCCGGCTCTCCCGTCGTTTCCGTTCGACTCGTCAAGTTGACGGTGTTACCAAATAGACAATATCTTGGCATGCGATGTCCGATGACTCCGGTGACGACCTCACCGCTGTGGATGCCAATGGTGATTTTCTGAAATTTATTGAAAAATTGCAATAACTGCAGGAGACATCGCGTATCGGAATCGTAGGAGGTTTCTTATCGCGGTCACGAGGTTATCCGATAGGGTTCAGGAGATGAATAGTTTACCACAGGTTCGCCATCGATTTGAACTTCGTCCGCTGCAAGATCCATCATGTCTAACGCCAGGCGTGCAATGCATCTCGCATGACTGCGACATGGCTCCGGTAATCCGCTCACGGCCATGTATTTGTCACCCACAGTTTCCACCTGTGACATCGGATGAATAACACGGCTGATATCGATTCCGGGTTTAACTAAGCACGGGGAGAGTATTAAACGAATTAGCGGAATTATCGTCCCCCCCCTTGAAAGGACACTCGGAGAAAATCGCGGACGTGTAACCCAACCGGCTCGATCGATCTTGTCGGATGCGCCATTAATCGCGCAACTTTTATCGTGCACCTAAATACCTGAATAATGGCCTGAACTTTCTACTTTCATTTCGGCAGGGGCAAAGCAGAGAGTCATCATTACGCTCCGACATAAAGCTGCACTCAAGAGCGATCGACTGTATTTTTTTTTTTTTAATATTAAGGAAATATCCGAAACAGGTGAAACCAAAATGGCTGTTCTGGATAAGACGGTGGAGGCGCGTTTATTAATTCACTGGGCGTTCTTTGAGAATGAAATTCCGGAGAGCCGGTTATATTTAGACCCTGCTCCGGATAAAGGTTACCTTGTACACGTTGGGGTTCTTTTTGGGGTCCGTAAGGACGTCGAAGGCGGTGTAAAGCTGGTTCAACATGTTGACGATCTTCATGGCTCCGCTCGAGTCGGTGTGGGCAGCGCAGTATGCAGCGAACCCGACGATTCCGGAGAAAAGAAGGGTTACGCAGTCGTACTTTTTGGCCGGCACCGGTCTGGAATGCCTTAGCTCGTTGGCCACGGATATCGGCAGAACGGAGTAGAGTAATCTTTCGGGGAAAAAGAAACGAGACTTATTTCCACCTCGGACGTCGCTTGGTTCTGCGACGAACCAAGATAGCGGCTCCCTCGAGCCATTTAATTCCCTTCCAAATCTACGCGAACTTCTTCACCGAAAGTCCATTTGATCTCACCGGCGATAAAAAGGATATCGAGTGTAGCGAAAAACAATAATAGAAATCGATTTGCAGTATTTGCAAGAAAAGAGAATCGGCCTCCTGGAGCGATTTTTGTCCCCTGGATCGATCGGACCACGCCAAGAACATCTTCGAAAGAAACGTCGATTGCCCACTCTTAAGAACCCCTCGGAGAGGGACATCGAAGGGGTGGAGCTCTCTTTTTCTTAGAGTTCTTGCTGGATCGGAACGCGGCAGGTTCCTCGTGAAAGAGATTTTTTTTATGCGATGTTAGAGACCCCAGACACGATTCCACCGTGGCACGAATCCGTGCTTAACACCAAGAATCCTTCCTTAATACCAAGTTCTCCAGAAGGGAACCCTATCGTCGCTGACCTGTCGGTCTTCTGCTTCTCCCCGTCGAGTTCTCGATAAGTCTGCTGCAGCTTGTCGGTGAGCAATTCCAAGTTTCTGGTGAGCTTGTAGTCCGCCTCGAATTGTTCCGACATAAGGACGAGGTCTCTCGTGGCGTCGTGCAGAGGGACGTCGCTGAGGTACAATCCGCGTCTGCAAATAACAAGGAGATTCGGAATCGTCGCGGGCTGTGCTTGGCGACAAATTGATTAAAAATTCAAGATGTCGCGTTCTCGATTCGACTTCGATCGGTCTTTAATGGTACTTCCGGTGGTTTTTTTTCACCACGGTACTCGGTATTTCCGGAAACGGTACGGAAATGGAGGAAACAGGGAAATCGAATCTATCCACCCCCGAGGAGGTGTCGCGATAGGACGGGGTGGATATCGAGTTAAAGGCAGCAACGTTGCTGTCGGGAATTAAGTTACAAATTGGAAGTTGCGAGGTGAAGGAGCCCCATAGACCGCGTTTAACTCGGATGCCCTATACATTGACTTGTTACTCGACACTGTTCAGCCAAGTCTCCTCGAGGCGAGTTTTAGCCTCGATCTGGCGATCGAGATCGAGACCAGAAATTACCGCAGCATTCCGTGCACCTAATTGGCGGTGCATTCTGAAATCGCACGACACGGTATCGTTTCGAGAGCGAAATGCTTTCGATCGGGTCGGAAATAACAAAAAAAAAAATGGTCGAGTACGCTGTTCAACGAATTTTAATTTTTCAAATGATCCGATTTGAAACTCCAAGTTTGGTGGCAATGAAACGAGGGCGAAAAGATTTACATGTCGATGGTCGATGGCCACTTTGTAATTCAAATGAAACAAATTCTCCTTTTGGGTCCGCGCAAGAGAGAGTGCGAATTTATGCACGGTTGTAGCGCACTTCAGGGCGGAAAAGTGAAGATTCATTGCAACCTCTCGGAAGTACCAACGAGGTGTGACAGGAAATTGTATTATTCCCAAAGTCATTACGTGGCGAGAGTGTAAGTAACATGGTCATTTCCTAACACGATTTGGGAGTCCAGAATGATAGAATAACAATTATCGCGGAGTCACCTGGTGAGGTCGTCGAGATTCATCACGCTGGGATAGCACAGGAAAATGACGAAGTTATTTTCCGGTATGTACAGCATCTGGCCCTGCGAATAAAGTCACGGTAATTTTCTGATGTTGTTAATTTTTTAAATGCCCAAAAAAGTGTTGAACGAACCTTTAGACGTAAGTTCGAGTACTCCTCGGCAGCATCGACGCGCATTACGCCCTTCTTGGTTTTCAACACGTAAACGGTGTTGATGTGCGATAGAATGTTTTCAAAAGTCAATTCCAAATGCGGCCTGACCTACGAAATCAATTTACCATTTTTTTGGTATTCTCGATTCTTGAGAGTAAGTAAGGCCTTTCGTGAATTCGGAAACGAGTACGGAAATGAAACTCTGTGTCTCAAATTTGTTTGGTCTATAAATCGCAGGATGCGGAAAGTACGTGCAAAAATATGCAGTTTATGAGAGACTTTTGAAACCGTTTTTCGCGCATTCATAATCAACCCATCCGCGTAAAGATGCATCTAGTTGCATCGTAAAACGGCGCGGCCGAAGTAAATCGTAAGAAAAGTAGCATTCATACAAGTCAAGCCGTGCTCAAATTATCAGGTTGAATATGCATGAAGGCTGCCGAATGAATATGCAGTAATTGCACCATATTGTGGAACACATTGCACATAGATGCAGAGTTTCCGGCAAAGACTGGATAATTTGTTGATCACTGAGTCTACCATTCGTAGGATGCCTCGTGCACCTTCTTGCCCATATTCCCAAACGAGAGAGGACCAACGCAATAGTTGCCCCATATGGGAAAAGAAAGCTGAGAAAATTGCAAACGGTGGTCGATTCGATTCAGCGACGCCATCGAATGAAATCGAAGCCCACCGAGATAGGAACCCCTGCATTAAGACAACTTACGGTAAGCAGGATGTCGTTCAATTTGCAGTTACCGCTGCAAACCTGGGGCATAACGCGGGTAATGGTGCATCCAGTTTGTACTATGGTGAGTTCCCGATTGAACATCAGGTGAAACGGGAACACTCGGCAGAAAGTAGCGGGACTGACCTTCGGCTCTGCAAGGAAATGAAACTTGGAGGTTGACGAAATATGGGGAGGACCCCGAGACTCACCAAGGGAGATGGTCTCCAGATCGGCGATCATCGGCTTGGCGTTGTCCCCAGGACCGGAACTGTCGGTGATAAGGAACTGCACGTGGTCGCACTCATCCTTCGACTTCAATATCCGCATGTCGACGTCGGTGTCGTGTAGCTTTTTGGCAACGGTCTGGGGGAGTCGTTCGCGATCAGCGTCGCCATTGGGTTCGACATGATTTCCGAGGTCTAACTAGGGTTGGTGGCCCGAAATGGGGATCACCTCCCCGAAAGAAAGCGACTTCGTGGGTCCAATGTGGTTCCGATATGTACCTTTACAATCCCAATGACAATGTGTTCCAGACCGGGTCGATCCGAGTAATAATGCAGAACGAGAGCACCATCTTCGGGCCTTTCGGTGCAGCGGAAAGAAGGCGCCCTCATTCCTGGATACAGCGTACCCAGGTGGTCGTGAAGGGCATCCAGATTCTGGAAGTCACCGCTTTTCTCAATCCCGGAGAGTGGCGAAGAAATTGCCGGACGAGCAAGCCGGCTCCGTCGTGGCGGAAACCCGGACGGAGGACGAAACGTACCTTCGGATCGCCGCGTAATTCACATTTCGCTTAAACCCGACTCCGTCTTCCCCGCTTCGCGAATCATTAAAACCGGCGTTTATATTTCCTTGAATCGTTCGGGCAAGAAAATAGGTTAACGGAGTAATGCTCGTTTCTCTGGACATGCTGTAACGACCTTGGCGGAGCTTCATAGAAATGCCAGGAAATGCACATACGACTCCGGGAACGTGTCCGTGAATATATCGTCAGAAGTCAACGTGACCTCCTTAGCGACATTCTTGGCCGAATATCAGCGCTGGAAGTGCACTTACACGAGCAAGGATGAGCAGGGCATTCGTATGTGATGCGAGCAACGCGTACCCCATATATGCCGGGACATCCCGCTTTTCCCACCCACAGGCGTGCCCACGTAACCGACGTTAACGTATTACGGCATTCCAATACATACTCTATATACCATGACTCACCCGGCGAAGCTTTGGTATGCGCACTTAAATTTTTGCTAAAATTGAACGTCGGCCACGTGCTGACTTAAGGTACCTCCGAGATGGTCACGGAGTTCGCTTATGAAACGCCGTTTATCGCGGAAGGACGCTTTGCTCCTATTTCGTTCTCGTCGAAAGAGATTTCGGAAATAACGCCTTTTCTCGAGCGAGACGCAGCGATTTTATCGCGCTCGATCGAGGCATAAATTCCCTGAGTTTTTCATTTATGAAGTTCGATGGTGGTGTAAATCTAACGCGGATATTGCGGGCCGCGACCCCAGGAAGAATGAAATTTGGGTTACGCCGACCACGTGCTCCGGCAACGCCGTCATAGCGAGCGTCGCGACGAGCATAAAAATTGATACGTCGATGTTGGATTTCCATTCGAAGCGATGGGAATTTTATACTCATGCTCTGGTTATTGCAGGCAATATGTATCGCGGCAGTTCAATTGGATTTTCGCTTCGTAAAGTAAGATCGTGCAATCCCCGCGGACGTTTTGACATGCACCTAGGTGCGAGCGCGTTCCCGGCGATATTATATTGAAAAATATTACCGTTGTCGATATTAAAGGGAAGGCAGTCTTGGCCTTTATTCATTTTTTTTATTAAAATTTGTAAGGCTGTCGAGGTCGCTACCGGAAGGGTCATCGATTTACGGCCTCTGAGTTTTCTTTATTTGTATTATAATGGCGCCGCTATCGGTGAAATGTCATCTACAGACGCTTCTAACGACTTCGTCCATCGGTAACGCGACGCATATCGGAAATCGAAAGCTTTACCTGCAGAAAATCCCTGGGGGTTGCTCCGAGCACCTGAAGGATTCTGTCGTACCCCGAGTCCTGACAAAACTCGAAAAAGGTGCGGCCGAATAGTTCCAGGATTTCGTTGGCAGGAATGTCTGCGAAATTGAATAAAAGAAGCGCTTTCACTGGCGCCGATCCGTACAAAAAAAAAAAAAACATTTACGAAGTCCGCGACTAATTTCTCTCGAATGAAATCCTGCGGCGATGTCTTTGGTTTTATTCGTGCAACGCCTCTTTGCTCACTTCCACGGTGTTGTAATTTAATCGAGAGTACTTACTGAGCCGATTGACAGCACAGGAAATGAGGTTGTACGTAATCTCGTCGTCGTATATCTGCCGCACTAAAAACTGCCCCTCCATATTTACAGCCGCGTCCCTTCTGCTCCAACAAAAGTCAATTACTCGCAAGTTGTCCTACTTAACCGTAGAAAGGATTACATCGAACCGCTTGTAATCCAGGAATTTGCTCAGTATGTATTAAAAGGCTTTTTCGCACGAGAAGGAATTACTACGATAAAATTCCTTGAAGAAATTCGGTGCTTCCTTTAGAAGGAACTGCGATTTTTTTTTGTCATTCCGATCAAGATTTCGTTCTTAAGGATCAAGTAAACGGTATGTGCGGATATTATGTACGCGATCTTGGTATTCGACGTCCCCTTCGTTTCGACGAAATAGGATCCACCTATCCCATCTCGCCCAGGATGAGATTGCGTGCTCGTTAGGGGGAACATCCGGTATGACTTTATTAAGGAAGTTCGGCAAAAGTGCTCAAGGGTAATGACGAGCCCCGCAATTAACGCGTTGACGACCACGCCTTGGCCCCACTTCCGGCGTCGCCATTTGGATAAATCGACGCTGATATATTCGCGACGCGTCGCCCGACAAATGGCCGAAGTTCGCGGTATGCCCTCGATAAAGTAATCCGCATAATGAATCCCGAACAACGAGATCCACCGAGAACGGGCGAAGTTCGCGAAAGCGTTTGCCACGGCGATTAAAGCTTCCGCGAGGGATACGTCGAAATTGGCCGGGTTACTTTGAGAGGAATTAGAGCATCCCTTTGGAAAGGAGTTGGCCGAACTTAATTTTCGGCGCCCGTGAAAGGTGACTTATGGCACGGAGCTTTTATCCCGTCAACTTGGGGAAAAGTTATCGGGATGCTCGCAGGGCCAAGATGAAGACTTTGCTCCAATTTGCGCACCTCGAATCACGATCACCAAAGAAATAAGTGGTTCCGGTGTGGTAAAGCGTGCACTTAGAGCTAACAAACATTATACAGAGAGTGCAGGAAGACAGGGGGCGAGGAAGGAAGGAGCGTGGGTGGTCGGTGGTTAGCTCGATCGAAAATAAGCAGCAGCGTTACTTTGATTCCATAAAGGAAGTTTTAAGGCTTCGGCTGCTTGAAACCTTCGATGTGTTACTCCTTTCCTTTGGCCGGGCTCCGAGAATAAAATTCCGCGGCGCGACTTAAGGCGATTTACTCGCGGCCGCACTTTGCCGGCATTTAATGAGCACTTGGCGCGACCGGGTCGAGGGCTTTTCCCTCGACTTGGTTCGTTAAAGTACCCTCGAAAAAAATCAAATCAAATCAAGGCGGCCTAAAAATTGCACCTTACGTGTCTTATGCAATGCGCAATGAGCGAGCATGACTGTCGAGTGTTTCCGCCGGAGGAAACGTTAATTATCCAGCCTCGCCAGGTGGACGTCGTGCCTTGGGAAAAAATCTCTTTACGAGTCCTTACTTAAGCCAATTTCACCGACACCTAGTCCTGGACCGGCAACGAATTATTCGACTTAGTTTGCGGGGCAATTTGGCGTGCCGTTCCATTTCGGGAAAAATTGCTCTCCTAAATTAAACATTTTTATGAAAGTCCCCCTTCTAAGTTCTAATTAATCTAAGTTTTATCAGAACATGCCTAGATGAGGTGATAACGTATAAGCTTGATAAATAATTTATTTCGTAATTGTTTTTGGCAAAGGAGTGATCGTTTCCGGGTAGTTCGGCAAACTCGTAGAAGCGATAAAAAGCCGCAGTGATACGACGGTTTTGCGTGTAATTGCGGTTTCTGGAACGATCAAATTTAAATTGCACGGTTTACAGGAGACTTTTCTCCCTCGGCTGGCTGCATACACCGCTAGTAAATGTCAGAAATGCTCCACAAAACTGCATCGTCATAATTTGCAAGCACCATCCGCGAAAACTCGACGGCAAACCTCATTTCGAGCGCGCAAAATGGCTTTCTTTTAGAGGCTGTCAAGTGCCTCGGCTTTACCTTCCACCTTGCACTACAGAGACCGCTGGCATAGAACCTCTAGTACTTCACTCAATATTTCATAATACCTGCATACCTTTGCCGAAACTCGCGGAGTGTTTCGCGATTTAACTGCGGTGTACCGACCCGTTTTGGAGAACACCTACGTACACGCCTGAGATTTTTACAACCTCCTCGCTTATGCTTTGTTCACGCCAGCTGATTTAAACCGAAATTTGAATTTGAGGGTAATTGCAACGAGAGCGTTGCGCGAGGTTAAATGCGTGCTCGGTACATCCGTTTCGAAGAAAAGTTTCCTTCGGATGCCACTTTCCCATCCCCTTAGAATTTTCCCCCGGCTCGGGCAATTTAAAAGGACTTATCGGGGGATACATCGGTAACGAGTTTATAATGCTCTAATTAAAGTTTGGCCGAAAAGAATCGACCGATCGATAAATCACCGTAGGAGCGATCGCCGCGATTGGCGAGTTTCCGCTCGGCGTGGTGGACGTTGTGGCCGTGATTCATGAGCGATCGATTATGATCACTTACGAAATTGTACCGCAATCGAAGCCCGAGTTACCGACCGGCGTGGGCTCGTTCATCGTGTCCAATTAAAATCTTATTACCGATCGAGCCGAGCGTTCCATCTAGCTCCCAACTGGATATGGAAGGAAACGCGTTCGATACCGGATGAAATATCTGCTGACCGGAGTCACTACATAACTCACTGGGTACTAGTCGGGAAAATGGCGAACGTGTTTGCTGGAAAATCTCCCACGTTAGGAACTTTATTAATGACGAGAGGAAATCGAGGAGCCGAGGGTTCTAGCCGGTTCGATAACGATTACTCGAGTTTGAGGATAGGTTAGGGGAGGTGTTCCCTCTGCTCGGAATTTCTCCGGTTCTTAACGTAAAATTTACCACCGAGGAGCAAAGCTCCAGAAACGGCGGATGCCCTTTCGAAGGAAAGGAGTTTATTAACGAGCAGTTGAGTTTTAATCAGGAGACTCGATATCGCCCTGAATGGTGGTACGGTTCATGGCGAGAGCCGCGCACTCTTTCATGTAAATTCCTCGAGAACCCGTTTTCACCCCCGACGCTTTTAAGCGCCGCACAAGAGCGTACAGGTGCAATGGCGATGTAAAAAGAAAAACAGACGCGGAGGGACGAAGAGCCGAGTGTCCCCTCGGAGCTGGGAAAATACGAAGGGGCTGCAACGGGCGACGTGTCGCGTAACTTCATCGGCAAGGGTAATAAAGGGAAAATTAAGAAACGCGTGCTGCCGCTCCAAAGAAAAGTTTCCGCATTGAAGTTCGCGCAGTTTGACGAGATGCTGGGAGCAGAGAAGTTTAAAGTTTCCGCGTCGAATGCCTCGATAAAGATGCGCCTTGAAATAAGGTAATCCGACAGCAGCCTGACGGAACATAATTTACTTGGATAACTTTGACCGCCTGCAAATCAAATTATGGCGGGTTTACGAGATTTTATTTTACCGCCGACAAAAGCCAAAGCGAAAGGGGCATTTATTTACAGGGAGAAAAAATTTTTTGAGCATTGTTGAAAGAAATCATGTTCTTTCAGTGAAGGACATTTTTTTTTCTCACGGTAGAAAGTAATTTCGGCAATTACGACATATCGTAATGCTTAGGAGCAACAGGGATACGTAATTCGGGGGAAGGGTTGGGCTCGGAATTTGTGTACTTCGTTTTGTGGGTGCGAATTACCAGAGGGGTGGGCGAGATGGTCGTGTTAATGAAATGGGAGATTTGGCACGTGTTACCTAGACGTTCACATGACTACGTACAAGTACATACTCGAACACCTGCAGGTTTACATATGTACGATCGCGTATACGTTATGGTCGAGGCAGCATGCACATAAAGTCCAACGGGTTACCTACTTTATCGCTTCCCATGTTTCGACGTCGAAGGTCTTCACTACGAGGAGTTCGAGGGCGTAATTCACAAAACCGTACTGTGCACATGGAAAAAGTAAATATCAATTCAATTTGGAAATTAATCGCCAAGGGAAATTCGGTATCGATCGAAATGTCCCCGCCCGTCATCGGAGGCATTTGACGCCCTTTATCGGCGACTTTTGGCGCCTACTCTAGTTATTAGAATTTTTGGATGAACATCGTCGCGTCGATATTAACTCCACAGTCGTTATCCGTTCCATTGCTTTTCATTCGAGTTTAGAATCATCGTCATCAACGTCCCGGGATAGCTTTGACCAGCAGTTAAAAGTCGACCCTATCACCGCAATTCCGTCCTTTATCGGTCCAATTGTCATCTCCGCGCCTCCGCTGCAACCATTTCTACATCGGCATTATTACTTCTGTCATTATCGTCAGTTTCGACATTGTCAGCATTGCTTTGGTCTTCGTCTCGCAGTTATTATCTCCGTCGTTTACGCTATTCGCATTGTCTGTGCTAAACCTCGTCGTCGTCATTATTATCTCCTCCATTGTTATCCACCCCGTTGATTCCTCGTCGTCGGCATTGGCCTTATCATCCGCGTCCATGCCGCAATTATTCCCGTCGTCATCGTTATTCGTCATTTTTATCTCTGTCATTGGTTAACCCCTCATTGAATTCGCGATGGTCGTCATTTACTTTCTGCACCCCGTGAATTCCTTCGCCACGTACGTCATTCACTGATAGTGAAGTTTTTTACACCTAAGGTGTTTTTTGAGGATTTTCGAGTCACATGAATTTTTGTCGCATACGAATAATATGCGAGAGTTTGACGGAATTAAAAATCGCAATTTTATCCTTTCACAGTCCAGTATCGTCAACTAACACAAACCTACCGTTCCTGTCTACTCGAATTTCTCTCAAATTTCGCGATTCTCCCACCATCACTGTCGTTGTCGTTGTCATTGTTGTCATCGTCGTCCTTTTCGCCGTCGATTTTGTGTGTCGATATCACCGGCGTCGACGTCGTCCCCATCGCGCGCCCCGATGACAGCGAGTTTCGCGACGTACCATGATTCTTTCTTCGTTCAGGAAACGAAGAAAAGTGGCGGGCTCCTCGCGAATATTTTCATTCCATTCTAATTGATCATGCGAGCGTGTTTACCTCATGCACACGGGACGCGTACTGCTTCGTCGAGTCGGAGTCCGCCGTGGACGATAAGTATCGATTTTCCAGAGCCAGCTGCGCCACCTAGACACCGAGTCGAGCTTTCCGTGCTTGCGGGTGCCAATCCGCTTTCGCCGAAGACGGCCCTAAACGAGAGGCGCTTTCCCAGGGAGAGGGAAACGCACGTAAGAACCACCGCGGCTTTTTTCCAACGCCATTTTGCGTTACAACTTGGAAATCGGGGAAAAGGAGGACGTCCTTTCGGCGCGGCCGCGGCGGCGCCCGAGCGCCGCCCTCGAGCGGCGACTCAACTACCGCGCCGGATTTTCATCAACGAAATTTATATATTTCTGATTGTTTTCTGCAGACCTGTCCACCCGATTTATACGCTAATGAAATAGATTTTAGTGGATCGAACTTGGTCATTTTTGAGCCAGACTTGAACGCCACGAGGGAAGAAAATGTCCTCGAAGTCGTGCGTCGACATCGACGTCGCGTGTCCCTCGAGTGCGCTACCGAACTACGACCCACGCGACGTGGAATTCAGAAGGCAATCGAAAGTAATTTATTTCCGATTGTTGTACAGGTATTCCGACGACACGCGACCGCGGACATTCGCCTCCGCTCTGGTGAAACGTTCACGTTATACCAGGGAGCGGGTAAATAAATCGGGACGTTGCAAAATAAAATAAATATCGCCTTTGCCTGAATCACTTTCTAAAAATTTGCGATTTGTTCGTTAAGGCAATAAGACGTGACAAGGGTGAGTGTCCGGAAGATCGCCGGTTTCCGGCTTAAGTGGGAAAACATTCGCGAAGCCTCGTTGACGGGCTTAACGGCTTCTGAAAATTTCACGCGATCTCGAGAAGCTTTCGCGAACTTTCTTGCAGCGTAAATATTTGAACGCGAGGTATTTGCCCCGGAAAGTTGGGAGAAGTATCGAGAGGTGGACTATTTAAATGTGGCCCCAATACTCGGTAATGCGGCGTGGCAATGCCCGAAGGTAGAGGGAGCTTTCACGGTGCGAGCTTGCCTACCTACTGGAGACTAATCCGCTTTCAGCGTCGAAGTCACCTGCGAGCAAGATTTGCTGAAACTGTGCTAATTATTCAGACGTGGGATTGAGATCCTCCCTGGAATCTTGGTGTCCGGATTGTGAGAGAAAGAGCGAGAGAGGCGGGTCAGAAAAAACCGAAGGAGAGCGCGATAAACGATAAGCCTTGTCTGCGGGGAAAAGGGAGCGCGTTTTTCGCGGAATATCCCAGGATGGCTCGGAAAAATTGGATAGTCCGTGGGCTGGGCTGCGGTTTGACACTGCGGTGGAAATGCGAACCAGGCCAATGCAAGTCCCACGAGAAATGGTACAACCGGGACGTACCTACACGAGGACGCCGGAAAAAGAGGAGCTCCATTGTAAAGCTTCGCGCGGCCTGCGCGAAAAAGCTCTCAGCCAGATACGGCACTTTTGGTGCTCGTCAAAAATATCGCTAAGAAGATCGGTTCCGAAGACTCGCTACTTTACGTCGATGAGGGATTCAAGGGGAAATCATATCGAATGCAGAAAATATAACCCGGTATCCCGCTATCGCTCCCTGCGGCCGTGACCTGCGCTGTCTCGCGTGAAGACGACTTTTCCGGCCTAATGGGACGGAGTGCGGAAAAATGTTCCCTACGAAACGTGTCCGGAACGAGATTTGATATAGGTGCATTGTTATTAGACTTCGTACGTGGATGATCGTTGTCGAAGGGATGATACTCATCTCCATTGGTGTACATACGTGCAACGAAGGGACTCGTAAAACTGAGTCGGCTAAGCCAAAATTCCCAACCGTATTCGTCACCGAATATATACATTTTATATGTACCTAACTTTATTGCATGTACGGGAGCGGCGATGCGAACTCGTACATGCCATCGCTGCACAACGGTCCGAGATGCACGAGGGTGCAACCCCGAATTCGACTTAGGCGCATCCCCGAGAGTCATGTGTGTTTGTTCAGTCTTCTGTAAAATATTTCGAGGAGGATTTGCAAGAGCTGAATCCTGTATACGAGCTCGCAACGCGGCCAAAGAGGGCTTTTCCTCGGATGGATGCCATTTTTCCGAGACCGGACTCCGCGTCTCTTTGGAGCACAATTAGCGACACGACTAGCGCGTTTGCATTTTTTTCTACACGTGCACGATTCAATCTCTAAGAGCGATAATAGTTGTTTCCGACAGACTGCGATATATCTGTATTTAGAATTAAAATAAGAGGATTATAAAACGCGGTGTATTACGGCAATGGAAGTAAAATCCACCGTCGGAGAGGCTTCCATTTCTTTCCGTGGAAGAGGGTATTTAGGAACGATATTACCTCGAGAGATCGTTGCAACGATGGCTCCTCTTTAATTGCCCCTCCTCGTGGAGCCATTGTTATACGTAATACAAAAATGCATTACGAAGGCCGGGAAAGAAAGGAGATGCCCCGATGTGTAAAGAGGTAACCTTTCTCTGCAATTTCCTGCAAACTCGGACCCCCAGCAACGGCTGGGATATTGCAAGGACATCTTCCATCGAGTTCCATCGAAACCCGTCACTCGTTATAAGGACGAAGGAAGGATTTCCGAAGTAAATTGCGATCGACCGAGGTACTCTTACTCCTCTCCTCGTTTCTTCTGCGTGGTCATTAATAACGTAATTAACCTCGACGGTGGCGCTCGCGATTTCTCTTACGTGGCCCGCCGCCATTTTTCACGAGGTTGGCGGTGGCGTTTTTAATTAAAAACATTCCATCACGCGTCGAACTATATCGAATATCGGCGCCGGAAGCTCGGCAAAGCCTCATCGAAAAATATTTCAGAACTCGATGGAACGTTTCAGCCCTATTTCTCGACCTCGACGATCAGAAATTGCGATTAAAACGAAATGACCCACGAAACGTTAGGTAGTTCTTGATATCCTGAAATTTGGACAGTCTCCAGGAGAATATCCGTAAATAGGAATATAGAGAAATCGAACGAGGCGCTAAAAGTGCGCCAAGTACACAATCGGTTTTTACGTTTGCCGGGTTTACGGTTAACGCCGACAACAGAGGCGATTCGGGTAGACCTCGTTTTACGGCGAGCCACGCCGTCTTGTCGATCTCTCCAGCTGTGGAGAGGAGAAGCTGGAATCGCTAAAGGTTTCCTGAGACCATCTCGCGAAGTGGCGTCGCCGTTTAAGTGCTCGAAGCTGCGACTTCGGCTTCGCTCGGTTTCGCGTCGTCCTTCGACGTGACGGCCGAAAGAGACGCCAGGATTTCCCGAAACAACGACGTCGTGTCCGGGATATTTCCAGCGACGAGATGGAGTCGAGTTGCAGTCAATTTAGTTTTTTTGGGGTATTCATGTCGGGTACAGGTATTATCGTAGGTAAAAGCCGATCGATTTACAATGGCCGATATCGATACCCGGAGCGGTGGCTGGCCGGAGATAAGTCTCGAACGAGCGCGGTGAAAAATCATTTCCCTTTGTCATGTTGAATCGAGAGGTGACGTGACGAGATGAAGGGGAAATAACATGGCAGGGAGAGAAAGAAAGAAAAGGCTTTGAGTAATGTTCCGGAATATATAAAATTCCTCGAAGACGCCGATAGAAACGGATCGACTTTGTGGAAGCCGGGGAAAAAGGTAAAAAGTGCATTAGGAATGAATGTAGGTTGTCTCGGGGAAAAGGGAAACGCGATTGACGGGGGGAAACGTAAAGATAAGAGCACGAAGAATCATGTATACCGGAAATTGTGGGAGCATGTGGGAACGCGCGATAGCGTGATACGATCCCAGGTCCTGCATTAAAAAAATATTGTTGGGGTGGGACTTCCTCCTCGCAAGTTACCAAAGAATCTAAAGTTAAGGGCTAAAGCGATCCGTCGAGGAACGACCCTCGCAGGTGGACGTTAAGGTCGCCAAGTTGCTCCTCCGTGGGGCGGGCGATCAAAATCGAATTTGAAAGTTCCCCTCGTAAAGCTTTTTTATCGCGGGAGGCTTTTAATGCACCTCTGCGGTCTCCCGCGAGGGACGTTGTATAATGTCGGCCTATTCGAACTTTTCCGTCCCCGGTCCCCATTCGTCATTCCCGTGTACCGTCGAATCCCAAGGGGTTTCCGAGCTCGTTTGCTCGAAATTATCGTACGACGGCGCAGCTGCACGTTTCAATTCGCCCCGGCGCTTCTTCCGGCCGAGATAAATCTGGCGCAGAGATAAATGGAAATTCACGATTCAGATTGTCGAAATTTCCATGCAATACGTCTTTGGGCGCGTTGTCAGCCCCTCGGTAATCGACGATCGATTCTCCGACAATGCTTTGCCGTTCTTTTGACTTTTGGGAAAATGCCTCCCTTGAAAACGACGGACCCCATCAAAACGCTATACGCGTGGAAACTGTCGCGGGGTTGAACAACCATTTTCTTCCGGTTCAACGTTTCCCTCCGGGCACCAAATTTCTCGCGGATTCTGGCAGCGCCATTAACCATGTAAACGGGTCTGTGTATATTTTGTAACATAAATATTGGGAATATTTGCCAGCGGACTAGATCGTTCCCAGACCGGAATTAATTACGCCGGCGTAACCGTGCGCCCAATATTGACGGTAATCACCCCGCTAATGATTTAACTTTGAGGATTTTATTAAACGGGACGAAGTATCCAAATTATCATAAATTCACCGGAATTAATTTTCGGCATCTCCTCCCCCGCGTGAAAAGTGCCTTTCCAAATGCCGAGGAAAGTCTCGAAAACCATTTAGCTCGTTCGGCTATCTCGACTCGCGGGCTCGTTAACTCCTCATAGATCCGACTGCATAAGTTTCGGAAAACAATTAAACTTAGGGAGGAAAGGAGTCGTCGAGTCGGTCCCAGGCGAGATATCCGGTCGGATCGGAAAGACGGAAAGTCCAGGCTTCTAAATCTTGGCCTTTTTTATATCGGTCCAGGGGCGTAAAACGTATGGCGTGGCAATTAAAGTTCGCGGCCCCAGTCCGTGACTTAGGACCTTCGAGGCTTTACGCCTTACGAGCAAAGTCGCCGCGAGCTTCTCCGAGAAGCTCCGGTCGATAACACTTCGTCGGGCGAAGCTTCGTGTCGGAAGCTCGAATTTCAGGTTCGACCGGAGGCCGTCGCAAGCTCTGGTCTGGCCTCGGGCTTAATGGAGCCCAGAAGGCGACCTAATGCTCCGTTCACATGCACGCCCGACGCACTTTCCTGCTCCACCAGCTTCCAAGCCAAGAACGTCGATACGCCACCTCTTAGACCTCCCCTACTCGTTCAAAGCGAGCTTCGCGTCAAATTTTATTTCATTTGCTGACCTACGTTTTTAACCATGACTAACTAATCAAGGGGCGACATCTCGACAAGAGTGCATTCACAACCAAACCGTAGGGGTGTGCATACGATTCTTCCCTGGTCACGATCTCGTAATTAAGGAGGCTTCCATGAAACTACCATTAAAATACTGTTTTTCCATCCCGGGGAACTTCCAGAGGAAATTTCCCTCCCTTCAAAGGATCTTGCTCCCCCTGCTCCGTCCTTGGTCCGGGAAGTAATGGCTCCTTGAATAAAAGAACTTCCTCTCGAAGTGCAGTTTACCAGTCTTAATGAATTTCTTCAACGACCTGTATAAAACCGCTCCAATAATGGAGCGATTTCTCGCGACCATTTGTGCTGGGATCAAAATCGAGGATGTACTCCAGCGGGAAACTTCCGGTTTACCCAAAATTCGTTGATTAATCAATGGGGCATCGAGGGTTACGTCCCACCATTGATTCGAGCCCAGTCCATTTGGATTCAATTACTCTATGGAAATGTAATAGCCGACTTGGAACCATTGCCTCGTGGACAAGTTCTGGCAATTTGCCCGGCATGTCCGCCTCTGTACCCCCTCGGAATTTCGCCTGTAAATGCCTTAAGGCAAACATCGGATTCTCCCGAGCCGACGTACCGTTGACGTTTCCGCATGAAACTCTGTTATTTCACTAAGATGAACCCAGAGCGCGTTGGATTGCTCCGGCAAAGTGATCCGACTTGCATAATACGAGCCCGTGCACTTGCTCTTCTGACAGAGTCATGAGTAAATAATCACGGCACGTTCTCTGCAAGAGACCTCGACGCGATTCGCCCTCGAAGAGGGATATGTTTTTAATTACCGACTTCTCGCTTTTTACGGAATATCCGATTATTCCATCGGAAGCTCGTTTTCGCCAGAGGGAAGTATCGTTTGCTCGCTGATTGGAAAATGGAGGCGCAATTTCATCGGACGAAATGGGCTCCAGTCTCAGAGATAGGGCTTTACACTCCGATTCGATTTTGGCACCTCGATTCTTCTCACCCTCTCCTGTGATTTATCCGACACGATGAATCAAAATCGACGACACCTCCCTCACTTAGGAATAATAAAGGACCCTCGTAAATAACAGCTTTACGGCCGTTTTCCCTTCCGGAATAACCTACAGAGGAACGTAAAAGCTACCCTCCCCGGCCATAAGAAAAGAAGCAGGCTTTTGGGTCGGACTTGGACATTCGTACGATTTGAACTCGGGGAAAATGCAAACGCTTGGCAGACATTTCATAAAGTACGTAAACGTAGTCAAGGGCCACGTAAAATGGAATTAATGAAACTTAAACGAAGGAACTTGACATTTTCTCGCAGAACGGTTCTTCTCCCCAGGTCGACAGATTTTCTATGTCGCCGGAGAAGGTTAAAAAAAATTGTGTAATGATAAAATCTGCTCTCTCGTTCCCGTTCCAAAATGGTCATTTCGAAGTGGAGTACCACTTCTGGTCACTGTCCGCGGATGTCCTTCGGATTCGATAAAGCCGAAAGGAGGTAAAAGCGGAAATAAATCCAGGCTCGGAAGCGTCCCCTCGAAATTTCTATGCATAATATAGCGATTCCTCCCCAAACATCCATCAAAAGAAGCACCCCTCTTCCACGAGACATCCGAAGCAGCCCTCTTGTCTCGAGTTTCCAAAGGCGCCCTATATCAACGAGGCGCCGCCACCGGCAAGTATTCCTTCGGGTTCCAATTTTCTAATTATCGAGAGGCGTTGTCCCGCCTAAATTCCCCGGAAACCCCCTTCAAAGAGGCGAACGATTTCGCCCAGGGGATAAAAGAAGAGGGTTCTCCCATTCAAGGTGCCAAAACCAGCCCTAGGGTCCCAAGATCCCGGGGGAGCCCAAAAGATCACAGGGTCGCCGTTGGACTCTTTCAGCTTCGTCGTGGGGCGGCGAATCGGGAGTTCTCCCACAATTACGCGGGGGTGAAAAAATAAAAGTGGAAAAAAGAGTCCCCGACAGGGGGCACGCGGAAGGCAGGCACCTCCACGGACGCGACGTGGAGTCTATACGGCGGCAATGGACTAATTAGCCGGATCGATCGGTCGCGTTGACTGCACGCGCGTGCGAGAGGGTGCACTCGGGGGCGGACGCGACGTGGAAAGAGCGCGAGCGAGAGGGGAGAGGGCGAGCCCCCAGGGCGGCAGGGTAAACCGAAGTGGTGTTTGAAAACGGAGCGAAGGCTGTGGGCCGGCGGCACAAAGTGCCCCCGAATGTAGGTAACAAGGGGTTGAAAATTGGGGCAGATGAAGGGCTAGGCTCGGAGCACGGGCACCTCTCTCGGTTAAGGGTGGAAAGCACGTTTCCTGGGAGGCGGCGGTGGGGGCGGGCGCCTGCGCGGAGCGGGAATCCGACCGCCTCGTCGTCTCTCGCTTCCACTCGCGCGGCGCCGTCGCCGTGTCTCGTCGCTTCTCTCTCGTTCCTGGCTAGCCCCCCGACCACCCAACCCCACAACCCCACGACCCCGCGCACCTCGGCTCGGCTCCTCGGTCAATTCCGAGCCAGTATGGCGCTGCGCGCTCCACCACCGCACGCGTCGCGCCGTCATCCCCGGACTGGCCGCCCGTAAGCCGAGCAGTGCTCCCAATTTAGGCGCCAACCCGACCAGAGCCGCCTCCAGGAGGTCGCCAGCGGTTCGAACCCTGTCCAACCCCTGCAACTCGCGAAGGAGACAGCCGGTGGGGTCGGCGCCGGCGTCAGCGTCGGGTAAGGTAGCGCGTGGCGGCTAGACGTTCCGCAGCTGGAACCGCAGGACGCCACCACGGGTAAGACGACCTAGGAGGGACCTAGAGGTATCGCGCCCGGGGAGTCGACGTCCACGAGAAAAGACGGGTAGTAGAACGAAAGTTTCAGAAGTTGCAGCCGGAGCCGGGAACCGGAAGTAACGACCAAGAAGGGAGCAGCCGGAGAGAACGCCGAAGATTAACTTTTGCGAGTCGGGGAGAGGCTGGGGGTGGACAGGAGAGTAGGTCTTGGGGGCCTGGAGGATCGGCCAATGGCTTGAGTTCGCCTCGGTGAAGGTGGAAACACAAGAAACGTTTCACCGGGTCGGGTAGTCCGCGGAATTGGGGTAACGCGTGCGAGGAGTTTCAAACCAGGCGAGGATAGAGAAGATATCGGAGATTATACCCCGGAAGCTGCAAGAAGGGTCGGACAGTTGCCGGAGTTTGAATTATCGGAGGCGGAAGAGAGAGAGAAAGACGCCAAGTCGGATTAGATACTCTATTGAATCCACGCGGCGCGTGCTGGGAACCCAAAACCGGAAGGTAAAGGTCTTAAAGGCAGCCAAAATAGACTCTAGCTAACTCGGACGACAGAATTGTTGCCCCCCAAAAAATTTATTAGGTCCGGAAGGGACATTGGTAGTCGTGGCGGCCCGTCACGTGTACACGGTGCTCCTAAAATCAGACATGGAGATGACGAGCAGCAAAGACGTCGGGACCTGACTTCCATCGGCCACGACAAGGGTCAAATTGGATATCGCGGGTAACTCGGCTCTTGTAGTACATCCTAGTAGCTCAAAACAAAGAGGGAAAGGAAAGAGAATCCTCTAGAATCAGCTCCTGAGGTCGGGAACGAAGATTTAAGAGGTCCGATCCTCGTAGTCATTCCCCCAAGGAACGGAAACGCAAACTTGAGTCCTCGAGGTGCACAACTCCAGAAAAGGTTAGGGTGTAGGAGGATAAAGTGCAGGGTTCCCGAATGTACGTTTCCACGGACTGAAATCAAAATAAACCGATCAGAGGGGAAAGAATCACTATCCCATTGTACCGGATTCTTTGGGTGGAGCTAGGAATCCTGGGCTTCGGGAAAGAGACCGATCGAGAGGGGCAGCAGCCCTAGTGGACCGGGACCAGCAAAGATGTATCGGTTGTCCAGACAATCGAAAGCCCCAGAGCCAGTCGTCGGATTTACGACAACGTGAGGCAGTACCGAGAACACCTGGGGTGGAGTCAGTAGCGGAAGAGGCATCAGCTGATCGCGCCTTGGAAGTGGGCGCGGGCCTAATCATGCCGCAGTGATCAGAGATATCCGCAAAATGGCATGTCCCTTCTCGAGGGGATTCGCGAGGCCTACGCGAGATCAGAAGCCGGATCGGGATGGACAGGAAACCCGACCAACCGACCAGGATCGGAGGACCACCAGACCCCCGACCAGACAGCCTTCCGTTCAAGTCATCTCTCTGAATGCCGAGGAGAACGAGGAGGAGGGAACGCAAACTCTTAACCTCAAGCACCTCAGGGCTGCCGTGCTCATTCTAACGAACCCATCGGTACGAGGGAACTTGTTTTCAAATGTTTCCTATTTTCTGGAGTAATGGGCACGTGAGAGAGGCTCGATTTCGCGGGGGCTGATGATGCGACTCCGGAATGGATGTTTTGGCTGATGGAGGAGAATCCTAGTGAACTCGGAGGACATGAGTTTCCGGAGTCGAGCCTTTCTCCTGGATGTAACCTTCTTATCGATAATTTTATTCTAAACTAAGTTTCTATCTAAGTTCGAGCACAGGGAATGTCCACGTTTACCAGGAAGGGTAATAGAGGGAGGGAGAAAGAGAGAGACAAGGCCAATTTCAATAGGCCGGATTAATTGTATTCCGTCGATACCTGTTGAACGCAGTGCCCTCACCAGGATATGCAATACATGCATAATGCACGGTACATAGAGTGCTTGGAACTTGTAGATTTCCGACAGGGCTTGCGAATGGAAATTGAAAACTCGAAGGAAAGAGTCGCGATGGACATCGCTTGGAACGACGTTAACGTTTAACTTCCATGGAGTTGAAAATCTTTCCCAGATGGAAAAACTTTGGAGCAAAAATCGAGGAAACTATTTGAAACCGTGATACGCGAATGTTTATTCAAAAGGGAGAGATATGGGGGAATATTCAGGGTTCTCCGAGGGAAGATGGGAAGATTTTCGCGACTTGAATATTTTGTTCCGGAAGGTCTTCCATTTTTTTTTTCATTTCATTTCTTTCTCTTGGAAGTTGCGGTTCTATAGCTCGGGGCTTCATCGGCTTCTTTGGGAGCGGAACAAAGTTTCGTGGCCGGGGAGCGTAATATAATTTTCGGTCTCATAATTTATTTTGTCCCGTCGTGTCTAGCTCGACGCCGTTACCGTATCTTAATAGGTACTTTAAAAATGATTATCTCATTAATTTCGAACCGAAGGAGGGAAAGTCTCGAGGGCAATCCCGGATAGATTCCCACGGCTCGCCGACGTTTCGTCGTTGCTTTCCAACGGCATCGTTATTCTTAACTTAATGCCACAAATAAATTCGGAGCCAATCGCGGTTGAGATTCGTCTCGCCTAACTCCTATTAATCCCAAGAATCGGTACGTCTCGTCATCGTCTGAACGACGACATAAAATCACCCTAAACGTCTCCGAGATTTACAGGTCCCATCCTCCGTAACTCGGTCAACGCGTCCAATATCCATTACAACTTACAATTTCACTCCGCTTTCCTTTCCAATCAATTTTGAGCTTCGCGCCGAATTACCGATAACTACAAAATCCGAAGAGGCGCTCTCTGCCCCAGATCAGCGAAAATCTGAAAATCATGGGCGTCGTGCTCTTTATACCATTTCATGGTTGCGACGTTTCATGGTGTTCGAGTTCATCACTCTGTCACATTCCCCTCTCTACGGACTTAGGGTCGAGGGAAGACCTTTTCGGTCAGAAAGGAGAAATGGGAAAATGATGACAGGGCTCGAGTATTGGGAAGTTTTGGGAGGCGACCAATTTATCGTTACGAAGGGTTATGGAGAATGTATGGACGTAGAAGGTGAAGAAAGAAAGTCGTGGGCGGTGACTGGTTTCGCCTCGAACATTAACACCGTCTTTTTGCCTCCAATATTAATTCCGAAGTTTCCTCGGGGGATGGTTATTAAGTTAATTCTTTAAGTAGTCTCGACCAGCCCCGATGGAAACACCCGTAAAAGCATAACTTCTTCGTGGTTTTTCCATTTCCTCCGAAAACATCGCTTACTCCACCTTGAGGAGCAACACCTGCTGAAATATATATCAATGGCAAAGATAGGGTGGCCAATGGTCATTTCCGAATTTCACGCGCCTCTTGTCGCTCCCGTTTCTTTCTAATAAGACTGTCATTGGGGTTGTGAGGAGTATACGAGGGGCTATATTATTAGGGGTGAAACGACGTGCGAAACTCACAGGGCGTGAAACACAGACCCCATGGCCGAAGCACTCGGCGAAAGAGGGGTTGCTCGCCAAACCTGGGGTTGATGTCGACGGAAACTCCTCGGTCTCGGAAAAGCCGGGGTTGGAGTTAAAGGAAAGAGGGGAATGTCGGCTGTGGGGCGGAAATACTGTCCGCGGGCACCCCAATGACATCGTTTTTTTAATGCCGGAGATATATCGCCCTGGTGTTGAACACGCCCGGGGTCGAGGCTTAAATAGTTGAAACAAATGGCTCCTTGTGCTGGAATAAAGCGGCGCTCAAAAAAATCGAGTAAATTTGGAGCAGGTACGGGGAGGTCGTCGAAAGGAATACCAAAGGACGTCGAAATAACCGCGCCATTTCCGACTCCGGTGCTAGGGGAAACCATGGGGGAGAAGTCGAAGCCCCCGAAGCGGATAATCACGCGATTTCCATGTACATCGCGCGAACTGGAACGAGAGCAGGGAGTTTCGAATACTCGGATTAACTTCCGAGAGATTCGGTCGGTCTTGGAATAAAAGGCGCGGAAGAAAGGAGAGATTAACTTATCGATTTAGAGTTTTCCAGAGGGATCCCTCGTTACTTGGGGGAATCGGCAGCCCGTACGGAATTTCAAGTGGTGCTCGCCAGCGGAAAATGCCGGCGAGAGGCGAGCTTGCAGGGCTCTAAAGTAAAATCGTAAGACCTCTAATCCTAAGAGCTTTCGCGAGTAGGTCGATGATATACGGCGATGTAAGGATAACCGGGGGTGATGCCGAGCGGAAAGGCATGTTCGATGTTGCTTTTCGTTAAGGTGCTCCTCGATCGAGCGTGATTTTCCCGTTTATCCAATTTCTCCCGTTTATGCAATTTTTCGCCACACCGAGTGCACCAAATCGTTCGAAATTTTACTACGCGAACATAGAAGCCCCGAGACAGATCCCTCCACCCGTGAAATTTGAGTTTTATTTCCATTAGAAATCGAAATATCATGTATGCCATGTATTGTCTTAACGACGCTAAAAAAATCGAATTGGTGGCTGAAATAACGCGGATAACCGAGGCGACATTTTTCCCTCCGCGTTGGAAGATGGGTCAACGATTCAAGGATGGTTCGGGGTAATCGATGATATTCCCTCTTATATCGCTCCCGAAACACGGGCATTAAATATTCCTCCCGTCTCCTTTTCCAGAGTACTTCGGTATGGAAATGGCCCGTTCGATAAAAGATTTATATCGCGCCTACGTCTTCCAGGGGACTCGGCGAGACGCACTCGCTAATAGACGACCAACGACGCCGCAAGATCCTAGGGAACGACAAATCGATCCCTTCCTTCGCACCCCCGTTCTATTTTCCCCTTGCCCCCCTTCCGGAATTTGAGCCTCGCTAACCGATCTAATGGAAAACGCATTCAAGCCCCGGGAATTCATTTTTCCCCTCGAGACCCCGACGATTGTCGCTAAGTCGATCAAGCAAAACTCATCTCTGGGATCCCAGAATCCCGAAGTCTGATTGATATATAAACTTTACGGAACGGAAGGTGAAAATCTGTACTCTCCATGAGCTCATCTGGCAGATGCGAATTTCGGCGAAACGAGTAATCCCACCCTGGCTATTCTCTGCAATTCGATAAACCTCCAACTGCGGCTGCGGGGTGTAATCGCTCCGCGTCGAGTGCGCCGGGAAAATTCAACCTACGATTACGGCATCTCGATAGAGAACGGCCAAGACCGAAGACAAGAAGCGTCGAGTAATTAATATCGACCGGTTTGGTGTTCCGCGCGAAAACCCATCAAGGATCGAGACCTAAATTAATTATGGGGCGGCATTGTAGCCAAACGCCATCGGTCTCTCGCGGGCCATCTCGCTCGTGTTTCTCCGGCAAACGCGGCTCGCGAATTAACAGGGACTCCGGTGTTCTTGATAACAAATTAGATCACGCCGAGCTACACCCTGACGACGCCGCTCGAAACACCATTTGCATCCGCTCGCGCCTTTCCCGCTCTAAATCGCTTTTCCTCCTCTCTAGACAATCCTTTTACTCGGAATTAAAGAAAAACCTGGGAAGCTGCGGGTGAAACTCGCTCGAAGTAATTTATTCGGTGGATACCCACGCCTCGACCAAGCGCTTGGCGCGAAACTCGTTCCCTTCCTGCGATTTTTTTATTGTCCAGACGAGTGAAATGGCACAAAGTGATCATTTCTGGTAACCAGACGTTTCATAAACGATTGACTCCTCGGATGCCACTTTCGCATCCCCTTAATCTCGATTTCGAGTCGTCGAAGCAGTCAAAGCGCTTTATGGCGGCGGATGAAGTTCCCCACTCGACGACTCGTAATCCAGAGGCAGTCGGAGCCATTTTCTAAGCCCACTTAAGACACTTCGAGGACGATGGAAATTCGATGAAGTACAATCGGGCGAGGTAGAGGCGTGTCAATAAACGCGGTTCGCAGTCGCGCAATCGCTCTCGGATTAAATCCCACCCAGGGGCGATTTCCGCAGGCCGCAACGGCGCGGCCGCGTTTTACCCGGAATTATCGCGCGGCCCCGGTGTCTAATCAACGCTGATATTCCGCTTGGTCGTCGATCCGCGGCATTAATTCCGGCATAAAGAGAAATACCCGCGCCATTGCGGAGTGCAATCGATCCGTCATCGGAGAAGCCGCGGAAAAGGGACGACTGGCCGCGAATCGATGGACGACTGTAGTGCCGTTTTTTACACGATTGTTCGCTGCAGTTCCAGCAGAAATTTCCGTGATTTTTCACGGAAATAGACAAACCGTATACTTTCTCAAAAATAAAAAAACAACTTTTACTTTCTTCTCGGTCACCAAAGCCGGAAATATGATCGTGGCACCGGTGGACCGAAATCGGTTTTGTAACTGATTTCCGAGGTGATAACGGATGAGAAGCTTTGACACGTTGCAAAAAAACGAATCGTTAGGCGTTCGTAGCCGATCTCGAAAATTGATCCACGTCAGCCCCATGATCCTATCGCCGTGATTTACAACCCTCGGGGGGAATGTAAAGGGGTGAAATGCAGAACCGCCGGTCCATAAATTCACTCGACCGTTCTTGCCGAAAATTTGGCGACGTTGCTCGCTGGATAGCACATCCGCTTTTCCAAAAAGTACGAGCTCGCTCTCCTGCGTTTTGGAAACAGCATGCATTATGCATCTCTCTCTCTCTTTCTCGAGAAACCCAGAACCTACTTCCCTCGAAGCGGGATAACTTATGTCGCGATTTGCAGGCGAGTGTCGCCGACGTTGCACCAGCCGGATGATTAATAACGCTTTCAATTTTGGGTCACCGCGATAATAAAGGCGATTTTCCGAAAGACCGGCTTAACTCGTAAAAGTCCAGCTGGTCGTCGTTTAAGCGCCTCCGTTTATCTCTCGCGATATCCGAAATTGCATAAAACTTTATAACCCTCCAGGGTTGACGCAGGCCTTATTCGTCCAGGGCATTATTCCCATTACTCTGTGCTCGAACGAACGTAAATTACTCACGCATGCCCTGCATGAGCTGGTCACAATTATCCGCCGCAATAAAAGCGTTTGATCGCAAAAATTGGAAAGGGATGAACAGAGGGGGCGAAAAGGATGTAAATCTCAGAATTACGCGAATTGGGTCGACGAATAAATTTCGTTCAGCGGGGAGAAATTTTGATCTCGCTTTGTCGCGTTTACCGGCATTGCCATTTTCTAGAGGCCTGTATTATTAAAATTGATGATTTCATCGCTCCACGAGGTACCCCTCGTTCCCACGAGAGTTTAAATAATAAATGCGACGTGACTCGCGAGGAGGAAAAACGTCGGAGAAAATAAGGAATGGCACTTGTCACGAAGATTAATAGTCTTTACCTTCCGAACGATGATGCGAGTACCTGCTTCATTACCGGTCTCGTGTACCTAAGGTAAGCGCTTCCGTAATCCTGCTTTTCCCGTCGCGGATGCGAAAAGGAGACGAATGCAGGATTCGACGAGGTCGCGAATTATTTTCGGTAAACGAGATCGTAGGAAAAATCTTCTCGAATTTCGGTCAAATTGATACTCGACGAATGCTTCAACGAAGAGCAGGTGCACTCACTCGTTCTTCCCGCTTTTCAGAACGAAGTAATGGCCGTGGCTCTGGGCGGTCTTTTGAGCAGGAGCGAAGTGCCACTTCCGGCTTCGGCGTCCTTGTAAGTATGTCCCATTGTACTCCAGACCGCTCTGAAGTTTTCCGAAGGGAAACGCGAAATACGGCGAGGCCAAGGGCCGCTCGTGTGTCGTTTGCCTCGACAATTACCTCCCCTAATGACATTGTTTGTCGATGCGAGCGTTACGACCCGGTACCACGCAATTACTGTAAACTCACTAATTGGCAAATATCCGCTATCACCTCGGGAAGAAAATTTCTCTCGGGAATTTCTTTTTATTGTCTCTTGCTCGGTGGTCGAGGTCGCGATTGCGATTTTCCATGTGATTGAATTTAGATGTGCGCGAGGTGGGCAATTATTTCCACGGGGTACTGGGTGTCAAAGACGAAGTGCCGAAATAGTCTCAGTCTGAGCTTCGGAGGGGCGCGTAATAAGAGGGATAATTCGGCCATGTAAGGAAGCGATTTCGCGCGGGTACTCCTGCAGGATTACGGTTTGCACCCCGGAATTCTCGGCAGTGCCGGCAGGGGAATCACGAGATTAGTCTCCTAGAATGTACACCGAGTGTATCGGACCAGTGGCAATCGAATTCCTCGGTTCATTGGCGGAAATTCTCCGGATTGGCACATGCGCCTCGAGGCGATTTTTGGCCCGACCGATCGATCGATAGCGATTCCCTTCGTTCGCGTCGAGCCGAGTCGATTAAAAGACGCCCTTCCGAGTATCTCGATTCCCCGCCCTCGATCGATTTAACGTCTCCACGAATCCCGCCTTATCAATATTAAATACGACTGGAACGATGTCCGACATCGACCCCCTGCACGTCGTAACACGGAGAAAAATGAGCTACTTGCGAACACACGTAATGGGTAGTAACAGGAATATTTTTCTCCGCACAGTCAATTACGAAGGCGTATAATTCGTGCATTGCGTTGAGTATGTACGCGGAGTTGCGAGGGCACGAATTTTGTGGCCACTGCAGACCCCTTTTATGCATGCAACAATTTCCATTCCGACCTAACCATTTCCAAGTTTACGTGAGGCGCCTATAAAATTACAGCTGTTTCGCATGCGTACCGTGCTCTTGTTTTTCCAGGGAAAAGCTGCTCAACAACGCCGAAAATGAGGAGAATTACAACCTCCTGGAGGACATTTACGAGACGCTCAATTACGACTGCGGTAAGACTCACGTGAAGTAAATTAGCATACGCACTAGCGAGACATTAATTTCGTCTATTCTCTATTCTACTCTATTTACGAATTAAGTAAGGTTAATTAAGCGGTGGAAAAATTAATATCCACCGTTTAATTAACTCGTTGGAGGTAGAGGGTTACTGGGCGGGGTCCGCTCGTATTAGCTTTATTTTATTAAAATTAAAAATGACGGGCACAGAGGACGCTTATTAAGCTCAGATTTAATTGCAATTCATTACTGGGGGGCAGATATCAGCCGGTGTACGCGAGTAATTTCAGCGGATGGATAATTAATCTCTCGAACGATCGGGCGGTACCGGTAACGCGATTTTCTCAGCGAGAGCAGTAAAACCGTGGTGGAAACGACTCGGATCATCTGGTTGTGACGTTTACGACGACGCCTGGAGCCGTCAGGGCAAATCAAGAGATAAGCAAATTCAGGCGAGAGGATTTTATTCCACCGAATATCTACCCCGAGTCCACGTATGAATATATAAATAAACATCCCTGGATTAAATGAAAAGCGTATATACGTATAAAGTGCAGGACCGTGGTGGGGGTGAGAAAGCCGCAGCTTAATTCTGAGGTTACAGACCATTTACGCGTGTAATACTTCAATTATATATTCAATAAAAATAAGGTAGAAAAATATGTATTTACTCGGCAATCCCAGAAAAATATTCATAGGTGAAAAATCGTGGAAAGTCGCGAGAAGCGGTTGGCGCCGTTCCGCCGACGGCCGCGTCGCGGTGCCGCCGGGCGGGCTGCGGGGACGCAGGCGCGGAATCCGGACCAAATCCGCGGGAAATGCAATTAACGGGGGAACAATGTGGATACTTTTATCGTCGCGTTGAACCCGAGAATGGCGGCAATCAAGCGGGCCGTTCGTTTTCTACGACTGCACTTCCATGGAAATCTGCATCCCTCGCCAGGATTTTTCTTTCCCGATGGAGTTCCCCCGAAATTTTGGCCTTTCCTCGTCGAGGGATGATAAATTTCCTCGTTCGCTTCCTGGGGTAATCGAAAAATTCCGGGCTCGGCGATTTCGGGGAGGTCGTGGCCAAATGCCGAGGGAAATTTACGAGGCCCTCGACAACGACTAAGTTCCATGGGGACATCCGGTATCTAGGGCGCAGATACAGATATGAACCGGGAGATTGATAGCTCGGAATTGTTTCGTTATCGGCTCGCAACTGGACCGGAATATTTCCATTCAATTCCATTACCGCCTATTTGCGCGGCCGCTGCCATCTTTGCGGAATTAAAAGGGACGAATAAAAGCGCCAATACGGGTCGGACATCGAAAGAGTGGTCGAGAGGATATGATTTGCACCCTCGCGAATTCTTTGCACTTTCGTGCAATTTATGCAATTTACGCAACGTGGTTGATAATTGAACCGAGCGCGAATGGAATTTATTCCGGGAGCAAATGGAATCGCGAAAAAGTATAAAATGGCGAACAGGAGGAAAACGCGACGTCGCGTCGAGAGGACGTTTAAATTGCGGAAAATCGTTCCCCGGCGAAATCAAAACCGGATTTCATTACGCGACGGAGTTTCCGCTTAACGAGGGGAATCGATCGAAATGTAAAATGACAGAAGAAGGTAAATCTTTCCGAGTTTTGTTGAGCAACAAGTGCGCGCTCGGGTCCCCGATTAAAATGGCGGCTGGGGGCGCGATGTGCGCTACTTTTTCGCGACGTTTTGAATTGCTAATTGCGAGTAACAGCCCGGATTCAAACAAGACCCTGGGCTCGGGAATTGCTCGTTACGAAGCGCCGGATGGGGGGAGGGATAAGGCTCTCCTGCAATTTCATCTTCGCCGATGCAACCTGGCACTGGTTGCATTTATTTTCTGTTTGCCGTTCGCAGTAGCTCGACGGGGAAGGTCGTTCTCTTCGAATTGATCTCTCGTCGTCCTGCGTCTTTCTGCGTCTTCGACGAAAAATATTTCCCGTTCCCGAATCCGGTGCGATATCGCCCGTGGACTCAACATGCGTTATGCATAGCGCGGCCCCTTCGATATAGGTTATGCATAGCGTATGAGTGGTAAGGTTATGTCGATATTATTTAGGAATTGCCGCCGGTGCTCGTCCATTTTTCAACCGACGTCCCGTCGAATGCTGCCGAGCACGTATCTATCGATTCCGACATTTTTAGCGTCTTTTCCACGAGTCGCAATTTTTATTAACGTAACGCCGAGTAAAACACACTTGTGCCGATTGAAGATTAGTTTTCCATTTAGGGCCAGAAGTGAAGTTTAACTGAGCGTGGGTAGAGGTAGTTGGCAAATCCACGTTTTCGCATCGCTCGAAAAGTCTTCCCTTGGAAAGATTGACGGGAATTGTTCAGGAAGGTTAGGTCGAGGTTGAGGTTGGCGAGTTGCAGGGTGCTCGATTGGTTCGCTCACGATCGAGCACATCGAGAAAAGTCCGTCGATTGATATGCAAACAAGTTTTAGTTCGGCCTGCTCCACGGAATTCTCATGCGAGCTTTACATATGTACCGATGAGCCGACCCGAGGAAACCTATCTCCCTCTTTTTCCCTCCCTCTTCTCCCATTTTCCTTGTTTTTTGCCCGTCCTTTCCTCCCTCCTCGTCGAGCTTCCCAAAGCTTTTTCGACGTGGAATATTTTTCAAGACTCGTCATTAATCATGGATGCCTCGACACGTCGTATAACGCCAACTCGGAGGGGCAGCGCTCGACGCCGTGCCATCAACAATTTTTGCCACAACGAAAAAGCTGGCCAGGTCGCCTCGATTGGTCGAAAAAGTATCGCCAACCATCGGATCAAAGTATTTTAGCGAGCCGATGTCGGTATTTTCATTCGGAGATTCATTAAGGACTGCACGATCTTCTAATTATTTCTAAAGAGCCTTATAATTGACCAAACGTATTTTTAGTTTTCTATTTTCGCGTCCGCATTGCCTCGAGGATATCTTTCGAGGGCGAGTCGTTAATCAAAAATTCTGCATCACCGCATAACGAGACGCGAAAGGAATGTTTTACATAGATGAATTTTTATCCCGACGCCATTAAGGGGCGAGCTTGTTTCTCGGTGCAAATTGATGGGCCGGAGGGGAAATCGTATCGATCGAATGAAAATGTAGCGATTACTCGACCTTTTGTTCGACAAGACCGGCAGAATTATAGTTGGCCAAAATGTACACACATATTCGACGCTATCAAATTTCCTGATACCTCGTTTAAAGCACGGGGCGATATACGTGCGGCAGCAGCTTTGCTCTGATAACAAGTGTATGTACATTTAGCACCTACTCCATCAGCGTCGGGAAACCTAAACCTAGTCTGGCATGGAAGCTGATTTCAGGCTTGGGATTGATTCCCAAAACCGAAATTAATTTTCTCATCCGATCGTCAGCGAAACCGGATTCCGCCATCGGGCGCGAAATAGCTGCCCATTCACCGGTCGAGCACCAGCTTTTACCGTCCTCCATTTCCGCGTGTTTCGATAAAAACGCCGATTATACAAATACCCCGATCCCGTTCGATAAAAAAAAAAATTTCATAATCCCAGATTGGCAATTTCGGTTGAAACATTTATTCCTCCCAACCTGATCACGGATCAATTTAAAAGGGACGGGAAGGAAGAGACAACGACGGAGTTCGGAGGAGGTGGTAGAGGCGGGTGGCACTTCCGGATTGTTAACATATGTGGCCACGATCGATTAATTCCTAATGCGGTAATCGATGTGGAATGATACGCAGGGATGGTTAAAGTGAGACAGGTGGAGAGATTAGCGTAATGCCGGCATTTCCGATGCCGGGAAGGATTCGACCACAAATCTAACGACGGGATCCATCGCTAATTCAAATGCGTATTTCCCCTCACGTTCCTGCAAATTATCCTCAGAAATATGGAGAATCGGTTGCTGACGATTCCTGCTCCATAAATGTCGAGTTTCGTTCATCTTCCGCCGGAATTAAACGAGCTTTTTATTTTATGCGCCGACTAAAAATAAATTCTTAATAATCGATATGGACAAGAAGAGCGGGGACTAAAGGGCAGAGGAGCGTATAAAAATACTGGAGGCATTTTCGAAATGCCAAGGATCCGTCTAAGAATTAAATATCGACGTTCCTCTCTGTGCACGCGGGAGCTTCCATGCTCGCCTGGATATATTCGTATATGGGTCGGTCAAAATTGACCGACAATTGATAATCGATACCGGTGAATAACGCAATAACCGATATGGAACGGCACAAGGGAGCTGATTAAAGGACGTCGGCAGAAACGCGTTAATGTCGGCATATCCGGCAGTGCAAAGGATCCGCCCGAGAATCTAACGAGAACATTTCGCTGGACATGCCGGCACATATGTGCGTATATCCCTCCATGTACCGCCATGTATCGACCGACCAGAATTGCCCGAAGGACTCTCCAATATGTTACGTTCGAATACATCGGACTGTAAAACTGACCCGACTTTACGCGTCCATATCATCTGGACTCCATTTCTCCTTAACTCCTTGGAGAAGAATTCACTTTGCGCAGTTCTCGCGACATAGCTGACCCAGATCCTCGGAAAGTTGGAAATTATCCTTTTCACCGGCGACCGAAATATCGTCGAAAATTTGTACATATAAATTATGTATAAATTGCTGGTAAATTACGTTGCGCGAGTAAATTACGCTACACGATTACGGGCAATGAACCCGATAATCGATATTCGATTGGGCAGGGGTAGTAGGCGAGGAATGGCACCGTTGATGGCGATTAAAGGGCGATCAAAGGGTTGCATTGGAGGGACGATCGCATTTCCAGACAGTGCTAAGAGTTCCGATCGAGCGTCAAATATCTATTTCCCGAAATGCTCAATCTTCACTTCCCTCGCGATGAATCCCATTTGTTGAAATCACAGAAGAAAATGTCAAACGATTTTCTACGACGAAATTTCTCCAGATTCTGATGATTATTCGCCAAAAATGACAAGGAGACTAAAATAACCCGATCATTTCAGCGATCGACGTCAACGGGTTCCTCGACCGTCTTGGCCAGGAGTTGATCACGACCGCCTGTGTGGGTTTACTGGAGCGTGCTTTCCGAAGTCTGGGCAACGACTTGACAGCTTTCTTGACGACCCTGGACGGCGTCAACGACGTGGTGCAACATCAGTCTGGATCCGAAACCGAGGCCGAATTCGTGTGCATCGCGACCCAGGGTGCCCTGGAGCTTCACTTCACGACCGAACACCCGTCCGTTGCCTATCTTCTGGTCGGAAGTCTCAAAGGCATTGCCAGGCGATTCTACAACGACAAGGCCGACGTCTACATCCTGCCCGACGCCTACAATACCAAGTTCTTTCGGTAAATTCTATTTTTCCACCCGGGCAGGATTTCTGGATTTCATTACCTCTCCCCGCGCGTCGTCGTAAAGGAGTAATTGGAGGATTTCCTCGGCGCTTACGCGTTTTAATACAGGGATCGAAACGAGGTCCCCGTTCGTTGAGCAAACGGAGATGACGAACCGGTGTGCGGAAACCAAGGAACACCAAAATGACGATGGACGGAAAGTAGAAACAAACTTCCCAAAAAAGGGTCTAAAGGGTGTTCGGAATTACTAATTAGTGATCACTAGAAATTTTTTAGGCAGACAGAAATTTGTCGTCTTTCAGATATCGGATCACTCCCGAGCATTACGAGCAACCGGAATCCGAAGTCGACGACGACTTTGACGTCGTGACGTCGATATATCGACCTCTGTCTTCCGAGGCCGCCGATCTGCAGATGGGAGTGGCGAGCTTCTGCAAAGCCTTCCCCTGGCACTTCGTCGTCGACCGTCGACTGGAGCTGGTGCAACTGGGCACCGGGTTCATGCGCATTTTCGGCCACCGTCTCAATCAACTTGGTCGTGAGATATCGACGTACTTCGTATTTACTCGCCCCAGAGGAGTGTCCATCACGTTCCACGAGATCCTGAAGCGCGCCAACACGCCGTTCGTCCTCACGCTGAAGGGACTTCCCGACACGGAGAGCTTTTCCGCGGAGGTGCGAGGTTTTCCGATCGCTTTCCAGGCTTTTTTGGGCTATTTTCCATTAATTTGAAAAACAACGGCGCCCTTTGGTTCGGCGGCTTCTGACTTTGCTTTTCTTTTCAAAGGGTTTGGAGCTAAAGGGTCAGATGGTCCATTGTCCGGAATCCGATTCGATTCTCTTCGTGAGTTCGCCGTTCCTCAATGGGCTGGAAGGGTTGAATAGTCGTGGACTCTTCATCTCCGATATTCCGTTGCACGACGCTACCAGAGACGTGATTCTGGTCGGGGAGCAGGCCAGAGCTCAGGTGAGAATTTCGACAATTTCATGTCATTGGTATAATTAATCCATTAATTTAGGTACGGTCCTTTGTTCAATGGCAATCAACCTTTCTGCGGAGGAAATTGTCCTTTGATGTGGTCCTTCGCCGAGACTTTATTAAAACTGAATCTCCACTAACGTAAAGAAGCCAATGGGGGCTTTTATGATGCCGTAGCCGTCATAATCGCGCGCCGAGTACTTTTCCGCCGGCCGAGCGCAACACCTGAAATAACACTTTCCCTCAAAGTGTGTGCACTTTCTCGGGGCTCGTGAAAAGCTCTCCATGTACTCAGGGCACCTGCTTTAGAGGGACGTCTCTCGTCGGAAGCGAAACTTCTGTCGCGTCATTAGAGCTTCCATCAGCACCCATTTCCGCATCGACACGAATCCTTGGTCGACCGAATCGATCGGAGTCCATTACCTCCGTTTCTCTACCCTATTCGAGAAGTTAGTTTTGACATTCAGCCATGCCAGCGAAATTGTGGTCACGGCATCGAGTCGAGGTCGTATCGCCATAGATATACGTTTTCTGTTCGAAAGGCGAGAGGCGAAGATGGGGAGAAAAGTCGAAACGCGGATGAGTTCTAGGTCGCGGGGGGTCCTGGCGAGTCGTTGCTTGGAAAAAACAAGGAAAAGATCCGACGAGATGAGTTTTCGGTCCACCACTGTCCTCGTCTTACGATCGCGGCGAGTAGGAGATCTGGGTCATGATGACTTTTATGTGTTTTTTGCATAGAGACCGGGATCCGGCGTCTCCGGGGGAGATCGAAGCGCCAATCAGTTCCGGATCATAAAGTTCCACGTTCTTCCGCTTCTTCTGCTTAGAAGATAAAACCGAGATGCTGGCATTGATAAATTCAGCCCGCGGGGCATCGCGATGCGTCCCGACGAAGGAGCTCTCTGTTTTACCGTCGATTCCGCCGACGCGAGTTAAAGGGACGTGAAACGTCGAGTGGTGCCCCCTAGAAGGGGTAATGATTCGACAAACGTTCGACCTTACTTCTCGCGAGCGTTTCTCTTGTCCCCGGTCTTGCACCCTATTTCTTACCCCATATCCCTGCTAAACAAAAAATTAAATCTAGATCCTAGATGAAATTAAAAAAAAAAATTTTTTACCGCCAGAAACTAGAAACCCAATAATGTCCGTTCACGACGATAAAACGATAATTTCCTTCCAACTGCCGATCGCTTCGCCTTTGAGCGATATTTAATTTAAGGCGGGACTCGCCGGTAATGGATTTCTTTGTCTTTTAGGATGGCCTGAGGCGACGAATGGACAAATTGAAAAGCTCGATCGAGGAAGCAAATCGCGCGGTGGACGCGGAGAGGGCGAAAAACGTCAGTTTGCTGCATCTGATCTTCCCACCGGACATCGCGAAACGACTTTGGCTTGGTGAGGAGAGAGCTGATTTAAAATAAATCTCTGGTAACTCATGAAAACGAAAATCGATACAGAGGAACCTTACGATGCATTTTTCTTGCATGTTTATTTTTTAGCCGTACTAAATTTTCCTAATTTTTCAGGTGAAACGATCGAAGCAAAGACTTATCCAGACGTCACCATGCTTTTCAGCGACATCGTCGGTTTCACCGCAATATGTTCCACGGCCACCCCGATGATGGTCATCAACATGCTGCAAAATCTATACGAAAGATTCGACATCTACTGCGGCCAGCTCGACGTTTACAAGGTCCTCATTAAAAGTCACTTGGCACTGTCAAGTAACGCGAATCGTTCGCCGATTTGGTATACGGCAGCTATTAAACACCACGGCGGAATTTCAAAGAAGTCACTGTTAATCGACACAGAAATGGCGTCGTAAACTGCAATCGTCACGCTTTACTCTGGGTTGGAAAAATTGTAAACGCTGGAAATATTCGTCATTTCCCTTTTACGTTTTTATCCGAAGTTTATGAGACATCGCGGACTCGTTCGGCCGAGATTTTATTAATGCGCTTCATCCGTTGTTCTTTTAAAACGATTCAACGCTCTGCCACAAAACCCACGAGTAGTCAGCCTACATGCACAACGTTTATGAAGCGAGCAGCAAATTGTAGAGAATTATTCACGCGAAGGGGGCCATTTTCCAGCACTTGGGTTTATACGGAAGAATGTCATCCCCGTCATAGTCAGGGCCTGTTTCGCTATGAAAATTTCCAGTTAGCGTCAAGTGTGTCATTTCGTTAGGAGTGCTCGACGCAGAGTGCGGAAAATTTATATGTAGAACCTGGGCGAAATGATTTATATACGAGCAGTGGTACCCGCGATAACGTTATCGTCTGTCTCGCCAGATATACCGCAGGGTAGTAACTGTTTATTGCTCATAAAACCATGCTTCGTTAATTTTCCGAGGGCATTCCATATCCTGTTGTCATTCCGCGACCGTACGTTAACGATGCTCCCCGAGGGCGTAATCAGTCGTTTTATATCCATGTTAATTAATTTTCATAATTTTCGAAATCGCTTCAAAACTTTATAAAACATAAATTTATCCTCCACGGAGGCAGATGAATGAAATTATATTTATTACGCGTGAGAGTAGCCATCTATCTAAAAAGGATCTTCGTCGGGTCATCTACTTTTCCGTATAAAATAAAGTAAACCCTACGTGCAACGTCGTATGCTGTGTAAACTTGTCAAAATGGGTACTTAAACCCGGGGAATATATGGCTGTACACCAATATTCGGGATCGATCATTTCAATTGGGTGCACTTGACCGACCCTGCTATTGTTGAGACTCAATAAACCCTCGAATGGTTCGTTTCGATGATGGGATATTGGAAGCGGCTTCGTCTTATGAATATCGGACTTTCGAGCTTCATATTGCTAGTGGTCGGGTACTTATCCAGTTGAAAAAAAAAAAAAAATTGACTTCACGACCGATGGTCCAAAAAGTTAGATATTTTATAACCGGTATCGTTACGCGAGCTGCCGTCAAATCGGATCCGATTCATGGTAATACTTCGCCTCCGTATTTATAATTTTACGACAAAAACATGAAATAGGAAGTGCTATTTATCTTTCAATTTTCAGGTGGAAACAATCGGCGATGCGTATTGTGTGGCATGTGGACTCCACAGGAACACGGAAACTCACGCACAACAAATCGCGTGGATGGCTCTCAAAATGATACAAACGTGTTCCCAGCATTTAACGCACGACGGAAAACCGATAAGGGTCAGTATTTATTGCTGGTCGTTTATCGATAAGTTTGAATCGAGAAGTCTTACTTTCTTCGTCAAGGACTCTTCCTGTCGCGGGTATGACTGGGAAACGAAAAATTTGCGAGCAACGGAGCGCAAATTCGTTGCTTATTACGTTTATTGAGGATCCGCATAACCTCCTCCTGGTATTATTTGCCCGCTATAAACGAGTCTTGATCGCCATGAAAGAACTGCGTGAGACGAGCCTGGCAAAGAACATTTCAATTCGCCCCGAGCGAAACATTCGAGTCCTTTTAGAGCTCGGTGTCGTCCAATTAAAAGTCGAGATCTCGCGGTTTTACAGACCGATGTTAATTAAAGAAGTCGGACTTTGCCGACCCCTTTCCTCGACTTTGCGATAGCGCTTTGCGGGCTCGAAGGAAGGAGACGGTAATAAGGCGTTAACCGGAAGCTAATATTAACTCTTCCTGGGCGCCGCTACCGAGATTCGACAAGTAGAGCGTGCAGCTGTAGTTGCCGTTTTGGCAGAAAGAAATTACGCCTACGACGACGAAAGTATTTCTCACCCTCTGATAAAAATTCGAAAAAGTATGTAACTTTTATCTGCGTTTTCTAGATGCGCATTGGCATTCACACCGGAATGGTATTGGCGGGGGTGGTGGGCAAGAAGATGCCGAGGTATTGTCTATTCGGACACAATGTGACACTTGCGAACAAGTTCGAGTCAACGAGCGAGCCATTGAAGATCAATGTCAGTCCGACCACGCAACGGTATGTAGATTTTATGCAGAAAATTGCATAAAATCGCTGCCATTCAATGGGGTGGGATAATTGTTTAATCAGAAAGAGATGCATCCTGGAGCCATGAGTGCTTCGAACTGAGAAGGGTCTTAGACATTTTTTTTTTTTATTTCTTGTCAAGATAAACGATACTTCCCGGTTCCAGGAGGCTGATCCAGAAACCAGGATTCCTATTGGAGACGAGGACCAAGGACAATCTTCCCAAAGGAATGCCACTTGACGAGGAGGGCACGTGTTACTTCCTAAATGGGTACCAACACGACGAAGTTGACAAGAGCGCACCCCTTGACGGTCACATCGAGGCAGCATTGACAGAATTCGGGATTACCAACAGCCTGTAGATATTTGGCATTTTGTACGAAAGGAATTATAGAATGCGAGAGGAGGATCCCGGTTAGAAAAAACACCTGAACGCGAGAATGAAAAAATAGACGAGGGGAAAGGCGGAACTTGGGAGGAAGAAACCGCAAAAGTTGCCGATTACAATGCTATAACAATGATTTTGTCTTAATCACCAGCAGGCACTAACCGTAAAATTAAATAACACACCGCTATGGGCGCTACCGTAAAACACGCGAAGGAAAAATCTATTACGCTGATGTAACTATTTATACGCAGAGTTTTGGGAGGGTGAATACAATTGTACACGAATGAAGAAGTAAAGTACTCTTAGGTAAACGTGCATGTAGTTGGGAAGTTCATCACCCTCTTTGAAAATTAACGCGGCGTGTCCGTTAATGTATCTCGTTGCAATTAATGGTCCCGTAAGGCACTGGAAAGCCGATTAGAAACTTCCATGAAATCTAAGTACTTCGAACTTTCAATCGTCTTATTAATTGAAACTTTAGAGGTTCGATAATTACGAACTTTGTTAATTTTTAACGGTATTCCATTGTGGAAAATGGAGATATTTTTAACGTAAAGCAGGACGTGAGAATTGCAGTCGATGGGATGATCGGTCGAAGTTAAGGGGTAGTAAAATTTACGATCGTCTACGAATCGTTAACTTTTAAGACGGTTTTATTAATGCCTCCTGCGTAAATAAAACTCTGCTCCAGTTTCGCCGCAGGCTCCGGAATCGAGATCGAGGCGAGAGCTTCTGGTGAATTTAAGTTAGAAATTAATATTTACTGTATCGAGGATTCCTTAAAGTTGCGCACCGAAGTAGTCGAAAAGGAGGGCATCCCATTCTGCACGATGCTCTAATTGTCAGACGAAACGAAGCCGCGTTTACTCCGACGAATGTAAATCCGGGATCGCGGAAAGAAATATCTATACGCCCGAGCGGGCGAAAGGGGAGATGCAGAAGTTGCCGCAATCCCAAGAGATTCAGTTACTGAAAACAGCCAATGAAACTTTTGCGGTGTTCCAGTTAGACCGAAGTTGCCAACTTCTCATATTGAAAAGCCCCGGATAGGTTACTTCTGGTCGGGACACCAGTTACAAACTCCGGTAACAATGGCGCTTCGTAACACTCGAAACGATAGGCAACAACGGAAACGCCTCGACCAAGCCTCGAAATTATAATCATCAGGATAACGCGGTTTTCAATTGTTTTCAGACCATCGACCCGTTGCAACTAACTTGTAGCCTCAAAAGTCGCGAAAGACGAATCATCCCGCGAATTCATTTCCCCCTGGAATTAAAATTCATAGAGAAATGACAAAGTTAGGGGTTGCGGATTGGACCCTTCCCGACAGTCGCGTAATTCGTTAGTTGCCCCAAAACGAAAGGTGACGTTTCTGGACGCGCGTGTTCTCATTAACCGGCGTCAGTCGTTATTGTCGAACGTCGAAAGAGTCCGTTTGTAGATTTCTTCCGGAGCAAAGCGTCAGTCGGAACTGCTTTGCTCGCCGAGCTTCCCTCCGACTGAAAGGCCCCCGTTATTTCATGAAAAAAGTACCAACGACGAGGACTCTTTGCCGGTGCCTTTTCACCCGCAACTGACAGGGGTCTTTACTTCCGACGAGCGTGTCTTTACTTTTCAAGACCGAAGGCTGAATATACTTTTCGAGTTAATTCTTTGTCCCCGTCTGCGCGCGCAGAAGTCACGGCAACTCGCACGTTTCGCAGGAGGGCTTCCGCCGCGGAGTGAAAACGAAATCTGAAAACTGAAAACTGAAAACCTCCCGGAGTGGCACCCCGGCGCTTCCGTGAACACGTAGGTATGAACTGCGTGTCATGTTTTTTACTCGGTTTTATTCGCGTTACTTCCACGCTGGATAGTCATCAAAGCAGTCGAGGTAGAGGTCCCAGGGGAAGCAGAGGACCTTCTCCGCGTCGCTGAAGCAACCAGCAATAAAGAACATACCCCGATATAAATATATGCTAATGGTGCCGAGACCTATTTACGGAGGTCCTTCCACCCCGGAGTGGCGAATCAAAATTCAAATTGCTTCATAAAGTCTCCACGAATCCCATAGTGGAGTCGCGTCGACCGGGACGACGATTCGCGAGTTCTACTTTCGGATGTTTCGTTGAAAAATAATTAACGATGCTTGTCCAAAAGGGGTCAGGTTATCAGCAAGCCTTACGCCATGGTCGTCCTTAATAAAACTATGCCGCGAACGAGGGACTTCATTGTCGGGTTCATTGAAAAGACACGGTATTTGTCGAAACTCAAATATTCCTTCGCCAATTGCTTTTCAACGGGGCAGGTCACTAGGTTAGCACCGCCACGCGCTGGCCAACGAATTCGACTCCTTGTTTGACTTTACTTTTGATTTTCTCGGAATAACTGAAATCTGGGTTAGCCGGTTATTGTAGTGCATCGCCCAGGCAATTACGAGACCCGAAATAGGATTGACTTATTCAGGAAAGCCGGACTTGCCCCAACTAAGCTCTAAGTTCAACGACACGAGAGAACCCCGTTGTCGATTTTAGCCCTGGTGTACACAGTGGCACAACGCGAGGTGAACTACAAGGGAGAACGATAAATCTTAAAAGGTAGAAGGTACTCCAACGTGATGTGCTCAATTTGCATTTTTACAAAACGTGGAGACCGTCGAAGCCAACTTGGACTTAATCCCGATTTTCCTCATTACCATCCAACCCTTTCTTAGGTCGAATCGGCTCAAACTTCGGATCGACCGTTGGGGTAGAACGCGGTTGTTGGTTTCAACGGCGATATAAAGAGCCTTGGGCTAGGGGGGCGAGGTGCAACGGGCATTGTAAAACTGAAAAAAACTAACGGGCAGCCCGACAAAGCCTAACCAACGCGACATGGCCGTGCGTGTGCACGCCCACGCGTTCACGGGCCTTTGTCGTTCCTTATGCTGCCATTCATGGGGAACATCGCGTACACGACGAGGACAAAGAAATTAAACATCGGGCCCGCCGGCTGTGCGGTGTAATCAAACGGCGCTGCAAATACCCGGCTCGTGGAGACATGAAAACACAGAGAAGGAGTAATAACTTAGATGCCCCGGTGCAACGGTGCCCCCCTGGAGGAGCGAAAGGGCGAAAAAGAGGAGGAAGCTCCTCGGCCTTGCCAGAAATGTCAGGCATCCTCTCCCTTTGCCCGGGCTTAACGGCAAAAGACTTCGTTAGGCGCGCCTTTGCGCCCATTTTGATTAAAACGACGGAAGGTCGCGAGGAGCTTGAACCACCCTACTCTCACATCGTTCGGCTCTAAAATCCTCCCTTAAGACTCGAACCCTGAGATGGGCAGAAGAGCTACGAAATACCCGAGACGCGAACCCTCCCCTGAGAAAAAGAGATTCATCCAAGCAAAGAAATATTTGATGATCAGTCGTACGCTCTGTCTAAACACAGCTTTGCCGTTCTTTGCATTTGGGAACGCATTTCGGGTAATAATTATAAATCTTGAGATTCCGTCGTTCAAAGTATTCTCCCCTGAGCGAAGTTAAGCACCAGGAGAGGGCTCAACAGGGAAGAGGAAGTACCGCCTATTTTACGTAAACTGGTTACCATGTTAAGGATTAACCGTTCAAGTGTCGAGATAATGTACAAAATGAGAGAACCACGAGATTGCGACAAGTTTATTAAAGTTCATTTACCGAAAGCTTATTACCCCGACGCAAGGAAATTAGCTGGAGTTGCCGTAGTTTTCGCAGAAAAATAAAGCGCTTGCGAGGGCAGCCTTCGGGTACGCCCGCGTTATTAATCACGCGAAGAACCTATTCTCCCGAAAATTAAGAAAACTGATTCCAATTACGAATAACATCCGAGCGCGTCGCTACATCGGATGCCGAGGAAAATTGATTTCGATCTTGCACTTTCGCGAGCACAATGCACCGCGTCCCTTTTACCCCTTTGCAGAACAATTACCTTGCATCGATTAACTTCCCTCGCATCGTCGTCGCGAGATATCGGTTCGTTTCCCTCTGCCGGGAGGGAAAAGCGGGACAATCGTCGCAGAGGAACGATTCGTCCGCCAAACTTAATCGCGACTCTAAAACCAAGCGCAACCCCTTCGCAAACGCAATTAAGCATGCAGAATGGCGTCCGCTCGGACCATCTCACTTTCGCCATAAACCGGCGAGTGCGCCCCTCGCATGGTAATCCGTTTCCGTCCAATTTCCCGATCGAGAAAGTTGGCCGGTCTACAGGGCGAATCGCGGCCAATCCGGCGAGTGTCGTATTAACGTCGTTAAATCATCCTAACCGAATCAGCAGGGACCGCGGAGGTAATTCGACCAGGACGTACGTGTCCGCTCTCGAGGGAGTTACCGGGCTTACGGGTCTTTCAATCTCGGCTCAATTACGCCATATTTTCCTGAGGAGGGAGGTCTTATTGGGTCTCTCCGGGCCGAGGCTTTTCCACGGAAAATAATCGGGAGACTCTCCGGGTCGCGATACTCCCCGGTGACGTTTCGCGTTTCCTCGCACGTCGTCCTCTCTCCTGTCGCCGGCAATGAGACAGGCCTGAGAAATTGCACCCACCGTCCTCGCCGCGGACCTTTCATTACGGGACACTTTGCTATTTATTCTCCCAACGCCGCCGGGACAGACCCGATTACCCGCTCTTCGCCATTAAACGGAAGGAGAAATGCCGCTCCCCCGAAACCGAGCTAAGGTTCTCCCATGGACCCGAAATTAACCCCGGATGCAGACCCTGGTCTTACGGACTGAGGTTCCCGCGACGCTGCACTTTCCCGGAGTTTTTATTTAAATACTTTTAACAATGGCAGAGGAATATCGGCCATTCGTTGAATGCGTTTTGCTTCTCTTTATTGTAATTACAGGACTGAAATCGTTCTTCCTCGTCCCTGGAACATCGCGGTACTTTTGCTAAGGTCCTTAAGGAAAACTGAATTTCCAACAGGACGACTTTCAGGAGTAAACGTTGTCTCAACTTTTCCTTTGGAGCTCTATGATTCTCGATGAGTATAAATGAATGCAGGCCCGAATAAAAGAGTCCCGTGAATCATGCATCTAATTAAAACCACGCAAACAAATTCACGGCTGCTGATAAGACTGCTAAATTTCGCGGAGATAACCGATATCAGAGGAGATCGTATCATGGCGATAACTAATTCGCGATACAGCCCTCGCATTCGATAAAATGCAATAACTTTTCCCCCGGCAATTTGCTGCGCGCCATCGATCTTTGCGAGCACGACAATGCACCCCGGATGCGTATTATTTGCAAAATTGTA